ACTCAAACATGTTCCTATTGTGGAGATTTTCAAGGCTGCAACTTGGACTTTGATACACACCATCGCCAATTATTACATGGTGGTCCATTCTTCTAGATCAGATACTACCCTTGGAAATCTGGTCTTGTCTTCGATCTTGAACTCAGCTCCAAAGCTCCCACCCCTGGCTGAGGGTACTGCTCGATAGTCACATGAAGTTAAGCACCCAAAGGGGCAGTACTCGAAGGAGAGATTTACTTCATTCAATAACTGGAGTTCTTAGAGATGTGTCCCTATGGTTGCTCCACCACCTGTGCTGCCTCCCATCTATTTTGGAGTTTCCTCTAGGGACTTTGCAATGGAGAAGGAACTGAGGGTGGTTCGCCTGCACAGCCCTATATCACCTCAGTGCTGGCAATGAGGATGTGTACAGCAAGCACATGCACGGGCTAATGGGCACTGCTACTGAAAATCTCCAGTCAAATGCATGGATGCATGCACATCTGAAGTGAAGCACCTAGAGGAGAACACCTCTCAAAGAACTCCAATTACTGCACAAGGTGAGTTAACCTCTTCTTCTGTGGTCTGTTTAGAAGTGTGCATATGCCAGACGGTGAAACTGATGAGGTTCATACCTGCTATAGTGTACAGACAGCACTGGAGATCTGTTCAGCTCCCAGAAAGAAAGAAGAGGTTGAAAAACTTTGTTTGGTCTGCTATCAACAGGCTTCCCAAAAGTACCTGACCTATTAGTATGTGTTAGGGGTAGCCAACCGGCGGCTCTGGAGCTGCATGTGGTTCTTCAGAAGATAATATGCGGCTCCTGTTAGGAGCCAACTCTGTGGGGGGGAAATGGTGGGTGTTCAGCAGCCCTATCAGCCCTTCAGTGCCTCCTGTCTGCTGGCAGCCCCTCCCACCCCCCATCAGTGCCTTCTGCTCCCTCCCCATGCCTCCTGCCCTCCACGATCAGCTGTTTCGCAGCATTGAAGAGGCTCTGGGGGGGGAGGAGCGAGGATGCAGTGTCCATCCCCCCTATCTCCCCCAGCGCCACCTCCTTCCTCTATGCCTCCTGCCCGCTGTGATCAGCTGTTTTGCGGCTAACAGGAGGCTCTGGGAAGGGGAGGAAAGAGGACACGGCTCACCTGGGGAAGGGGGTGAAATGGGACAGAGGTGGGGTGGGGGTAGGGACTTGGTGAAAGGAGTGGAGTGGGAGGCGGGGTTTGGGGCAGAGCCCATGCCTGTGTCTCCTTGAATAAAGCACACAGTGACTAGCTGGTGTGGAAATTTTTAATGAAAATTTTTCTTACGCCATCTAACAATGGAAGGCAAGTGCAAATGGAAAATAAAGTACACAGATGAAAATCGAGGCTTCCAACAAGAGTGGGAGAATAAGTACTTTTTTGGTGAACGTACTGGTAAGACCGTGTGTCATCTTTGCCAGACGTGTGTATCTCAGTTCAAATCTTCAAACTTGCAGCGTCATTTTGCTTCTAGCCATGCATGTGTGGATCAAGAATTCCCACAAGGTTCTGAACTCTGCACTTTAAAACTGAAAACTTGGAAAAAGCAAACACGTGTAGAAGCCCAGTTCTTCACCAGATTTGCCAGCTGATCGCAGACTATAACGTTAGCCTCTTATTATGTGGCTGTCAAATAGCCCATGCAAAAAAGCCCTACTCTGAAGGCGAGTTTATAAAACCATGCCTTACTGATACGATTTCAATCCTGTCACCAGAGAATGAGAATCTAAGGAAGAAAATTCCTGGCCTACAGCTTTCATGCCACATAATAGAAAGCAGAATCTCCAACTTGAATAATGACATCAAATCACAACTGCACTTGCAACTTCAGCAGTGTGAGTATTTGAGCATCACTTTGGATGAGTCATGTGATATACAGGATAAACCTCAATTATCAGTATTTTCCCGGACTGCGTCTGATGACTCTGTAAGGGAAAAACTCCTTGATATCGTGCCACTAAAGGACAGAACTCGTGGATGAGATCTAAAGGAGGCATTGATGTTGTTAGTTGCGAAACACCACTTCCCTTTACAGAAGCTCACTGCCATTGCAACAGATGGGGCTCTGCCCATATGGGGATCAGTGAATGTATTAGTATGACGAGAGCTTTCCTGAACTTTAGACATTTCACTGTATTATTCTTCGGGAGCAATGGTATCTAAAAATCTCAAATTTGATCACATCACGAAACCTGTCTTGCACATTGTGAATTTCATTTGCTCAAATGCACTCAATCACAGACTATTTCAAACTCTAATTGAAGAACTGGATGAAGACAACTTCCTTGCCGATTTGCCATTTCACTGCGCAGTTCGATGGCTCTCGAGAGGTAAAGTTGTTTCTTGTTTTTTCAAGCTCCTGGAACCAGTCATATTGTTTATGGAGGAGAAGCACAGAATACACCCTGAGCTTACAGAAACTGGGTGGGTTCTAGATTTGGCATTTCTTGCAGACATGCTGCTGCATTTGGATAAGCTAAATGTAGACTTACAAGGAAAATTCCAGTTGCTGTCTGATCTAGTGCAAAGCGTATTTGTGTTCATGAACAAACTGCAGTTGTTTCACAGACAAATGGTTGAGGGAGCGCTGACACACTTTTTCCCTCAATGTAACAACTTCAAGCCAGATCAAAAGAGGATGCAGCCGAACCCCTAAAACGGAGCACAACTAGGTATGCGAGCATGATTAAAGATCTTAAGGACACTTTTGAGGAAAGATTCCAAGATTTGCAGTGGAAAAGATCTCAAATCAGATTTCTGATTGACCCTTTAGTACTGAAGCAGATTGTTTGGAGCCCCCTTTAGTCACTGATGAAGAAACATCCCGGAAGGAAATAATAAAACTTTTGGAAGATGGAAATCTGCTCAGAAGACAGAGGGGACCCTTAATTTCTGGAAATCTGTACCAAAGGATAAAGTACCCCAACATGAGAGGTGCAGCCCTAAAATTAATCTTGATGTTTGCCTCGACCTATCTTTGTGAGTCTGTTTTCTCAACATTCAAACATGTGAAATACAAACACTGATCCATTTTGACAGACAGCCACTTAAGAGAACTGCTGTGTATGAGCACAGGTGAACACAAACCAAACTTCAAGGGAATTGTTGAAAGCAGTGATTGCCAGAAGTCCCACTAAGTAAAAAGTTAAGACAAATTGTTGTTAACGATACATTATAAATGCATAATAAGTATACCTTATCAAATTATAAGATTGTGCATATATATAGATATCTATACACACACGTACGTACGTACGTACGTACGTTCCTCCTCTGCCTCGGTGGGTCCTGCGCTTATTGGCGGATTGCCTCGGAGATTCACGGCAGCCCTCAGTTTGGCCACTCTTGCTAGTGGCTCAAACCTGCTGTCCACTCAGCTAACCTCATCACTGGCCAGCATGGGGGGAAATGGAGAACAATCCCTGCAATCTCTGTGTCCCACCTAGTGGGTCGGGGACAGGGCAGATCCCTTTCCAATTTAGATCTTCTCTTCTGGTGTTTCTCCCAGACCAGGTTAAACTCCTCCTGTGTCCGATCAGGGGATGGGGGGGTACCTGGGCCCACCCTCTACACCAGGTTCCAGCCCAGGGCCCTGTGGATAGCAGCTGTCCACAATGTTCCCTGTATCAGCTGCGTGACAGCTACAACTCTCTGGGCTACTTCCCCATCGCCTCCCCCCAGCACCTTCTTTATCCTCACTGCAGGATCTTCCTCCTGAAGCCTGATCACTCTTGAACTCTTCACTCCTCCAGCAGCACACCTTCTCACTTCCTGCTCCTGGTGCGCCCCCCCTACTAACTGATGGGAGGTCCTTTTTAAACCAGGTGTCCTGATTAGCCTGCCTGCCATAATTAATCTAGAAAGTTCTTAATTAGCTCCAGGTGTCTTGATTAGCTTGCCTGTCTTAATTGGTTCTGGCAGGTTCCTGATTGCTTTAGGGCAGCCCCTGCTCTGGTCACTCAGGGAACAGAAAACTGTTCATCCAGTGGCCTGTATATTTGCCTTCTACCAGACTCCAGTATCCCACTGGTCTGGGTCTGTCTCACAATATATAATCATTACTGTGGCTCTTCAGCAGTGTACATTGGTAAATTCTGGTTCTTTCTCAGGCTCGGGTTGGGCACCCCTGTTATATATGTACTCATGTGGCCCCCTGTCAGCATATTATCAGAATGCCTCACAAACAGTTTAATCTCAACAACCCCTATGAGTAGGGAAACAGTCTCTCCATTTACAGAAACACAGATCAAGTGACTTGCCCATGGTCATAGTATGCTTGTGTAAGTAAATCCTTTTCCTCATTTCACATAAAATATTTGGTAGCCTAAGGCATTCTGCTCTTTTGCACACTCTTAGTCAGAGCTGCCGTGGCAGAAAACAAAAACAAAACAAATACCTTTCATATGCCAGTTCAGATTGAGGGCAGAGAAATACTGCTTAGCTGTCAGTTTTTAAAAAACATGTTTGAATATAGTACTGGTGAAAAGTGGTTCGACAACCTTCGAGACTGAAGTCTGGTAGCCCCAGAGCAGGTACATATCAGGCAGTGCAAGTTTGCCCACACTTCTTCCATTGTGCCTCAGTCCTGTTCTTCAGGGATAATTGCGTAGGTCTGTTTCTCTGCTGTGTAATTGTTTGCTTCTTTGCAAGAATTGCCAGCAGGATTGCCTAGGTGTACTAGTTGTGATTTTGAATGTATACAACTTGTTTGTTGAGATGAGTCATATTCTGTTTTCACATAGGCTACCAAATAGCCATCTGATAGCAGTAACTGCCAGTAGCATCCTTGTCTGGATTTGACTCATCTACCTACAGGTGAAGGGCTCTATAACCCATTGCCACGGAATAATGCCGAACTTCCTAGTGAGAGAGATTACAACTGCTTTTAGGAAATGAAAATCTAACTTTGCTTTGATGTAGCTAGCAGAGCACTCCCAAAAGGGTCCTATTCTCACTGCTTTGACTGCCAGCTCAGTTGTTCTGTCTTCTTTTCACTTTTAGATCTGAGGGCCATTTGTGTTTGCCTGTACGATATACACACTCCTTTCCAGAAGCATTACAGAAGTTTTATCGTGGTGAGTTCAGGTAGGATTCTATCATCTTTGTTTTTACAAAATATATTTCCTGAGGAAAGCATGTGTAATGATGGCAGTTGTACAAATAAGAGAATAAAATTTAATAAAATAAATGCATTAAATCGTGAACTGAATTTTGAGGTTAACATCTTGAAGGATGACCATGAGCCGTGGTGAAGACATTGAACTGGGGTTCGGGAGACCTAGGTTCAGTTTCGAACTCTACCAGAAACTTATGATGTGCCCTTGGGCAAATCACTTAAACTCCCTATCTTGGTTCCCCATTTGTAAAATAATACTTCCGTCACAGGATTGTTGTGAAAATAAATTCATTAATGCTCGTGAGGCACTCAGTGCAACTATAGGGCCATATTCGTATCTAGAGGGATAGAAAGGTAACTAATTCCAACATTATACAAATTGCATAGTTAATCAAAGCTAATGTGAGGGTCTTGCAATTGTTAATAGAGTGGCTTAGGCACAAAGTAAAATGGGGGAAGCATTTTAGTGCTAATGCTAGCTTGTTAGCTATAGCTACTAGACACTTGTACAAGAACTGATGAGCAGGTAACTAAAACTAAGCATGATCTTATTGCAGTTTACATTAGAGGGCAAGCTCTAACTGTGGAATGAACAATGCTATGAAACAGGATAAGAATTGTTGTACATACCAAATTTGAGACAGAAAAGGGACAAAAGGGACAAAATATTTGTGGAATTTTAATATACCCTAAAACATAATTTGTATGTTAATGTTTTTGCTCAAAAAGAAAAGGAGTACTTGTGGCACCTTAGAGGTGCCACAAAGTACCCCTTTTCTTTTTGCGAATACAGACTAACACGGCTGTTACTCTGAAACCTGAGTTTTTGCTCAAGAAATTTTACTAGTTATGAAAATAAATCTCATAGTTGCGATGTATTATTGTAATGTATTGTAATTGTATCTAGGAGGGCTAGACATAGAGCCTTTTGTACTAGGAACTTTACATGTTAATATTTGGTGCATTTTATTTACTGTCATAGACAAATTCAGTTTGTAGTTGGATTATAACGTAAACTAGATCTATGGCATGGCAGAGTTGACATGTAGCATCGTGACTGAAACAAACTAATATGGTCAGTTTATCAAGACTAGGTATGAATAACTAGATGATTCTATCTGCATGGGTAAATGGAGTATCACTTCAACACTGGTAATTTCAGTCGTACTCTGACCTGGTCTGTAGTGAGGAAGCTTTCTAAACTTTGCACCATTTTAAGTGGTTCATAGAATAGAAGGGTTGGAAGGGACCCCAGAAGGTCATCTAGTCCAACCCCCTGCTCGAGCAGGACCAATTCCCAGTTAAATCATCCCAGCCAGGGCTTTGTCAAGCCTGACCTTAAAAACCTCTAAGGAAGGAGATTCTACCACCTCCCTAGGTAACGCATTCCAGTGTTTCACCACCCTCTTAGTGAAAAAGTTTTTCCTAATATCCAATCTAAACCTCCCCCACTGCAGCTTGAGACCATTACTCCTCGTTCTGTCATCTGCTACCATTGAGAACAGTCTAGAGCCATCCTCTTTGGAACCCCCTTTCAGGTAGTTGAAAGCAGCTATCAAATCCCCCCTCATTCTTCTCTTCTGCAGGCTAAACAATCCCAGCTCCCTCAGCCTCTCCTCATAACTCATGTGTTCCAGACCCCTAATCATTTTTGTTGCCCTTCGCTGGACTCTCTCCAATTTATCCACATCCTTCTTGAAGTGTGGGGCCCAAAACTGGACACAGTACTCCAGATGAGGCCTCACCAATGTCGAATAGAGGGGAACGATCACGTCCCTCGATCTGCTCGCTATGCCCCTACTTATACATCCCAAAATGCCATTGGCCTTCTTGGCAACAAGGGCACGCTGCTGACTCATATCCAGCTTCTCGTCCACTGTCACCCCTAGGTCCTTTTCCGCAGAACTGCTGCCGAGCCATTCGGTCCCTAGTCTGTAGCTGTGCATTGGATTCTTCCATCCTAAGTGCAGGACCCTGCACTTATCCTTATTGAACCTCATCAGATTTCTTTTGGCCCAATCCTCCAATTTGTCTAGGTCCTTCTGTATCCTATCCCTCCCCTCCAGCGTATCTACCACTCCTCCCAGTTTAGTATCATCCGCAAATTTGCTGAGAGTGCAATCCACACCATCCTCCAGATCATTTATGAAGATATTGAACAAAACCGGCCCCAGGACCGACCCTTGGGGCACTCCACTTGATACCGGCTGCCAACTAGACCTGGAGCCATTGATAACTACCCGTTGAGCCCGACAATCTAGCCAGCTTTCTACCCACCTTATAGTGCTTTCTTCCAGCCCATACTTCCTTAACTTGCTGACAAGAATACTGTGGGAGACCGTGTCAAAAGCTTTGCTAAAGTCAAGAAACAATACATCCACTGCTTTCCCTTCATCCACAGAACCAGTAATCTCATCATAGAAGGCGATTAGATTAGTCAGGCATGACCTTCCCTTGGTGAATCCATGCTGGCTGTTCCTGATCACTTTCCTCTCATGCAAGTGCTTCAGGATTGATTCTTTGAGGACCTGCTCCATGGACCTGGACAGTTCTACCTGTTCAGTTCTACTGGTGTTAATATTGCAGTCCTGGTGTGGGTGGCCTTCATGCTGCTGCAACAATTGATCAGACCTGGTCACAGCAATGTTTAGATGACCTGGTGTTAAAAAGTTATTGCAGCTTGTAGACTTGTATGCTAGTGCTCTGGTGGTGATGTTAACTCTGGAACTAAACCTATTGTGATGAGGCTTTAGCCTCTCCACAGGTAAGATTCCAGCTTGGCTTTTGTTATAAGCCCAATTTTGCCCTCTCCTGCAATCTAAAATCCTCCAAGTTGTTATACTAGATCTTGTCTAAGAGAGAACTTTTCTATCAATTCTGAAGGAAATGGTACAAGAGATTCTTGAATTGTCACTCTAAAAATACAAGTGATTGCTGGAGTCCAATATCGCATTTAATATCTAAAAAGCTATTTTGGCTCACCTCAGGAGGTGGCTTACATTTATTTTTTTTAATTTTCTTTGTCTGAATCCTGTACCTGTTGGACCCATGGTAACTTAGACACATATCTTTACAAGTGGAATAGTGCCAGTAAGACTCCCGATCTGTCCTCCTCCCCCCCCACACCTAGTCTGTCTCCTTACCCAGCCAGTCCAATACCCCACCCACTCCTTTAATCTCCTTGCCCAACTAGTCCCAGCCTCCACTTCCCACATCCCTTGGCTCCTAGTTCTAGTTTCTCTTCTCCAGTGCCAGTCTCACCAGACTTCATGTCTCAATCAACTCCTTTTCCTCACCCCTGATCTGGCTTCTGTCCTGTCTGCATTCGAATCAGGTGTCATGTTGCCTGGATGTCACGGGGGAGAGTGCGGGGATGGACGACACAGAAGAGAGGCTCCCTGCTCTCCCTTCCAGTGTATGGCCCTGGTCCAGAGCTGCCCTTAAAGACAGGGAAAGTCTGGCTTCGTCTTTGTAGCCGTGGGCTGGAGGGAGCATGTTCAATCTGATCAGAGCTAGGAGCTGTGAGAGGTTCAAGCACATTCAGTGAGGATGGAATCATCGGGGATTTTAGGTATTAAAGTATAACAAGTCTCCACTGATCATGTGTGACTTGCAGTTTTTCAGAAGCTTATAACTTGGCCAAATTTACATGGATTTTCATGGGGGACAGCAGAAGGCACATCCATGACAGAAAAGGATACCACGTGACAAATTCAGCGTTCCTTCTCCAAAACATGGGGGTATTAAAACCGCTCAAAGAAAAGATTACTAGAATTTTTTAACGTGGGCAAAACGTATTTTCCCCTAATCTCTCGCACAGAAACCTCTGAACAATTTTGGCTGGAAATTTTTCCCAAAATTCTACCGGAGGCAGACACCTGGCACGTAAAATTTCAGTCAGATGATTAGTTTATAAAGCAGGGTCTTGTAATGGGAAGTGTGGGGCAACCTTAATAGTGTGGTGCCACCGGCCCCACCTACAGTACGTAGTTCAGTGGGGTGGTATAAAGGTTCTATGAGCGCATTCACTTATGTGCTGTCGTGCATTTTTTCATGTATGGGTCCTTTATTGTTTTTTGTTCCTCAAACAAGTTGAGACTGCTCAACTTGTTTGAGGAACAAAATAAAACAATAAAGGATTTTATTTCAATCTGTAGTCTCTTTTTTTAAGCCTATCCTTAGAGCCTTCTGAGTGAGGGATGTTGTGATTTGATAAGCAAATTGTTTGCTGCTAAATTGCCGTACCTAATTCTCATCACCACCAAGTGGGTGGCACTGTGTTTCAATTACCTGTTTGTAACTGCTTCAAATATTCAGGCTTTCTGCTCAAAACTGGAGAAGAAACTGCTGTAGTTTCTTCCAGGTAAAATAGGAAAGAGTGAGGAGGAATTATTTCTTTTCTACTCTGGGGAATAGACAGAATGTTGCAGCAATTTGGGGGGGGAAAAAGGGAAGGACATGTAAGTAGCATTCTTCTTTGAGTGCTGGTCCCTATGTGTATTCCACTGTGGGTATGCCCAGACACAGAGAATTTGTCAATCAGCATTTAACAAAACAGAAATGGATGTGAAATACATGTTTGTATCAGTTCTGTAATGAATTTGAATTATAATTGATAGATTTGGTGGTTGAAATTGGTAAGCTTTTTAAACTGACTTATGAATTTGGACGTCTCCTGCCTTTTTAAAAAAAAATTGCTCTATCTGATGAATGGTTTGACTGCTCCAACACTGGTACCAGTCTCTTTTCCTTTTCTAAGGTGGCAGTGGCGGCAACGAATTCGGATGTATCTTGAAGGAACTGGTATTAACCCTACCCCTGTAGATTTGCATGAACAGCAGTTAAGCCAGGAGCAGCACAGCAGGGCCCTCGTTAATGGAAGATTTCATGATCAAAGTAGGTTGAAGCTGATACTAATGAATGTAATCAACAAAACTTAGCAGTGATCACTTGAATGGTCAGTTGTGTAATAAAATAACTCAAATACTTTCCTGATGAACTCTTTCTAAATGGACAACCTATTCTAAATTCTCAATTACTGAGGGACAGTCTTCACTCATTGATATATTTTGCTTTCCGCCACCAACTCTCTGAATAACATTTTTCATGAGTAGTGTACCCAAAGACTTGGATTCTAAATATCTAAACTGTATTCTTAAATTCATTCACCTAAATTTGGGTTATTGCTGATTATGCACTATATGCATCTTATAACTTTAAAAACAAACCTTGTATTTGTGGATAATCTAAGCACTGTACCCAGATGTAGAATCATAGAATATATAGAATATAAGGTTTGGAAGGGACCCCAGAAGGTCATCTTGTCCAACCCGCTGCTCGAAGCAGGACCAATTCCCAGTTAAATCATCCCAGCCAGGGCTTTGTCAAGCCTGACCTTAAAAACCTCTAAGGAAGGAGATTCTACCACACTCTTTTGTGTACAAACACTCTTTTTTCAACCTGTATATTATATAATTTTAACATTAGCTTTAATAATTTTTGGGGGGAATGTAGTTATTATAGGCTTGTAAAATTGTCATAAATGTAGCAGCACAAGCTCATGGAGATGGGGTTTGGTCCGTTAGATCAGGACCCAGACTTGGAGCAGGGACTCTGTCTTGAGTGTTGAAATATGTCTACCTGTCACTATGTACGTGTGACCTTCTAAAATTGTTCATATATATTCGTTGACTGTCTATCTTAAAAATTTCATCACTGGTCTCTGGAAACTTGGCTAGATGGACCACTGCTACATTCCAGTATAGCTCTACCTGTTCATAGATTCTAAGGCCAGAAGGGACCACTGTGATCATCTAGTCTGACCTCCTGCATGATACAGTCCATAGAATTTCCCTGAAATATTTCCAGTTTGAAATAGAGCATATCTTTTAGGAAAATATCCGTTCTTGATTTAAAAATTGCCAGTGATAGAGAATTCATCACAACCCTAGGTAAGTTGTTCTAGTGGTTAATTACCCTAACTATGAAGAGAAGAATTCAGCTTGTCTGGTCATCCACTTGTCTTTTGACATGACACAGTCAAAACTTACTTTTTTCATTCTCAGATTCATATGTCCAAACTGGCTTTTCTCAACTTTCCTGGAAGAAGTCTGTCTGGGTAGAGACCAAGCCTGAAAAGTCTGTCAGAAAAATGAACTCTTCAGAAAAACTATGAACAACTGAATAGATATTAAGAATGTGAACTTATGCACTCTTAATTATAATCAGTTACTGCTTTTTTTAATGGATTAAGAAAATTTTGAGAATTCTGTTTTTAGAAATGTAATTTAAAACTCGCCCCACTAATTCATGTTTTAGTAACTATCATTTGCCCAATACCTGCAGAATCTGAAGTTTCTGGACCACATCTTTTGCCAGTGAGAGCACTAAATGAAGTCTTCATTGGAGAGTCTCTCTCATCCAGGTACACTTAACTTCTGCATTGTTAAACATTGAGGTGTGACACAGTCTGAATTTGTTTTCATTTAAATATCAATTTTATGAAAATTCAGCAGGTAATCTTTGTGTTTGCTGCCATATTTCTTTTCAGCCTATGAATATTAGACTTTCATCGGTTACAAAAATAGATATTTGCTAAGATGTGGGAGAACAGTTGAGTGACATACCTCTATTCCTGATCGTTGTCCTACCTCTCTAGCCAATCCTTCAGATCTGTTCTTCCTCTCCTTGTGCCTGTGGGGTCCCACAGGGCCTTGTCCTGGATTCCCTTGTTGCTTTATACCCTTCCTTTTGGTGGTTTCATGTTCTCACCTGCCTTCAATTGCCATTTTTATGATGACTTGATCTACCTGTCCATTCCTAACTTACTGAGATATGAGACTGGATAGAGATCTGTCCAACATCTCCTCCTAGATGTCTTGTCATAACGTTAACATGGTCAAAACCAAACTTCTGATCTTTATTTCCACAATCTCCATCACTAGCAACATTACCATTCTCCCTGTCATTCAAACGTTTGTGTCCTAGGAGAATGTCTGAATTTTCACTCCCTTCCCCTACAAAACCAATTAGTATCCAAAGCTTGGTGCTGCTTGCTCCAAGATATCTAATTACTTTTTGTCCCTAGGTTTAAAATTCTTGTTTCAGGCCTTTATCTCCCATTTCTGTTCTTCGAGTGCTTGCACGTGTCCATTCCACTGTAGGTGTGTGCTTGCCTTGTGCACCATTATCAGATAATTTTTTTTCTCTCAACTGTACCTGTCGGGGCGACTCGAGCGCCCTCTGCCGCCTCACACCACTGCATGCTGGAATAAGAGGTTGGAGCTGCCCCAACTCCCCTCAGTTCCTTCTTACCACCAATGACAGTTACCAGAGCGATCGTAGACTAGTTATCGTAAATGCTTTCCTCGCTCCTTTGTACAGATATACCCTCTTGTTGTTAGGAATTAGTTAAGTTAGTTTTAGCTGTTTTTACTGATAGGTCTTTTGGACTAAGTTTTTTTTTTTTCATTTTTCGGTACCGGGTTGGGTGCCAGAATGATGCTTTGCTCACCGGGGATTGTCCTGCTGCACTTGCGCTAAACCCCTGTCAGTCAGTTACCCACACCTGGCCTGTTTAGAGTGTTTGGGAGAATCCCCTATCAGTGAAAAATGTCACACCTTTAAGGGATTTAAGCTCTGCTCAAGAACAGAGTGGAGAGGCTCAAGTGTCTACTCATGGAGGCAGCGCTTCAGCCCAGGTCAGACTCATTACACAGGGAGAGTGCCCCAAGCTTGTCGGCCTCGGTGTAGCGTGCACCAGAGATGTCTGTGGCTCCACAGTCCCACTCATTGGTACTGAAGAAAAGAATTAGACCTTCCTCAGACTCAGTACTGTGTTCGGTTGTTTTGGTTCCTAAGCCTAGTAAAGGCAGAGACTCTAAGAAACATGCTGTGAAGAGTCTTTTGCAGGAGCAACCTTCAGCTTTAAAGAAGGGATTGCTACTTCCAGAGCCTGTGCCAGCTCCATTGGGGGCATCCCCTGAAAGGTGTCTGAGACAGAGCCATCAGCCACTTCTGCTCCCAAGCTCTCTGGAGGTGTATTCAGCCACGAGAAACTTACTTAGCCTCTCAATACCAGTATCCCCGGCAATGCAAAAGATTCACAAAGATCTCTTTGAGCTAGAATGTGTTTTAATTAAAACTATCTTTAGATAGGTTTTTTTCCTCTAAGCATTTTATCAAAAAGATCCCATTTAAATAAAAAAAAAAAATCATTGATTTTTATCCACCCTGGTGACCGTTGCCAGGGTGGCTCTGCCAACTAAGAAAGCCATTATGAAGTTAGTCAAGGTGCTATGGCAGATGCTGTCCTCCTTACCTCCTTTAGCAAAGCGAGCTGAAAGGAGGTACTATGTCCCCTTTAAGGGATATGAATATTTGTATTCCTCCCCTCCCCTTGGTTCCTTGGTGGTGACAGTTGCTAATGAGTGAGAGGGGTAAGGTCACCAAGCATTGATGCTGAAAGGCAAAGAAGTGAATAGGCTGGACTTGTATGGACACAAGCTTTATTCTGCAGGGAGTGTACAACTCAGGATTGCAAACCAACAGGCACTCCTGAGCTGCTATGACTTCACCCTCTGGGAGAACGTTATAAAATTTAAAGACAAACTGCCAAAGGACTGTAAGTAAGAGTTTGCCCTCATCTACCATTACTGCAATCTGATTTCCAGAATTGTTCTCCAGGACAGTTTGGATGGTGCAGATGTGACAGCTTGAATCATGGCATCAGCTATTACCATGAGAAGATGTTAATGGTTACAGTCCTCTGGTTTCCCCCTGGAAGTCCAGCAGACCATTCAGGACCTCCTTTTCGAAGGTCCCTCTTTGTTTTCATATAAGATGGATGATAGGCTTCATAGCCTAAAAGGTTCCGGGGCAACACTAAAATCTCTTGGGATTGCTATTGTTACAAGAGAGGAAACAGTTCCATCCTCAGCAACCATATAGACATCATGATCTTCTCCCCAGTCTCAAGATCCACTGAGGAGAAAGGGCAGGAGTTAGAGGAAGTGTCTTCCACTGCCCTCCACTCCTTCTTTGAGTAGTGTCCCTATGGGTGCTCCACTTTAGGTGTCTGTGTGCCCCTGCACCTCTAATCGGAGATTTTTGGTAGCAGTGTCCCATTGAGCCCACGCATGTGCTCTCCCTCCCTTGTGGTCTGCCTCAAGGCTCTTTAGCACTGCACGGGTGAACCCCCCTCACTTCCTTCTCTACCACCTTTGGCCTCTGACTGAACTAGCAGTTGTCCCTTCCTTATCTGTGTCATTAGCATAAGTAGTGTTTGTTTTGTTACCTTTGTTCTCCCTAAAAGTACTCAAGCTAGTGTTTTTGTTTTGTTTTGTTTTTATTTTATTTTATTCCTTTTAGTTTAAAAAGAAAAGAGAAAGAGGAAAAGAACTTCTTTGCTTCCCTGTCGGGGGGCATCCAGCTCCCCCCCCCCCCCCCCCAGGCATCTAGTAGACTCCTAATTATTTCTTTTTCAGTTTAAAAAAAAAAAAAGTAAAGACAGTGTTCTTCTGCGTATTCCTCCCTGCTAGAGGATGACAACCCCCTGCCCACGGGCTTGCCTGGCTCTTTCTGCTCCAAGCCCTGCCTCTCCTGCCAGGAGTCAGTTCCTGTAATGGCCAGACACTCACTGTGCTTGGGAGACCCTCACAGAAGTGCTTTATCTGCCACACTTAAAACTGCAGCCTCACAGGAGCTGGGAGCTGAAGTCAAAATTCCTCCATATAGAGAAAACACTTCAGTCTGCTGGGGACTCCGGTGGGTGTTGACCCTGGGTCATCCCCAGAGCCTTCACTTCAAAAGGGGTCGAGTGGTGGGGGCAGAGAGAGAGAAGAAGCCACCAGCAGACTCCCCCTGGAAAGGCTCTTCCGAGCAACTGGCCAGCCAGAGGGGTGTTCTCTAGTGCGGCCCTGCCATCTCCGTAGCACAATACCAGCAGAGGAACCTCCTGCTGTGAGCTCAGCTGCCCCATGATTGGCACCGAAGCTCTGGAAGTTGAAACCTCAGAAGAGGCTTCCTGCTGTGAGCTCTGCTCTCGACACCAACAAGGGGCTTCTGTAAGCTCTGTGTTGCTCTGAGTTCTACTCTGGGCAACTACTGCACCAAGAGGGCACAGTTAGTATACTATCTCTAAAAGAGCGACACAGAAAAGCCCTGCTGTCAGCTCTGCTTCAGCACAAAGACACCAGAGGCTTCCACCATCATGCTCTGAGGCAACAGTACAGTCCCCTAGGGAGAGGGGGACTGTAACACATCTTGAAGAACAACAGTTATAGAAATGTAAGTAACTGTTTTTTATTATAATCTTTTCCTCTATCTTTCCTGACACCTAGGTTTGACCCTCTTCAGACTAGAAAATCCAGCTGATAGGATCCTCTTTCTTACTCATACATTTGACATTGTTCCCTCCTCTTAGAATTCCTATCTCCCCCTCATCCCTGTATCCGTTTTAAACTTCTTGTCCTTGCCTGGCATAAGTTTGCCTCTCTCTATGTGCCCTCATTTATTTGCATTGCCCTATCCCTTGCATGCTACCATGCTAACCTCAACATGCTCTTTGTTCACTTCTCCCACACTGCTTCCTAGGCATGAATATCCTTTCTGAGCAAGTCCACAGGGCTGTTGCTTTTTCCACATTCAAATCCCTCCTGGAGACCTACCTGTGATACCCAATCAACTGATCATGGCAGTGTTGTGGGATGGGCAGTTAAAACATTATCATAAATCATGATCTGATCAGTTACCACGTGGTCACTTTACTTCTATCTGTAATTTTTTACCTTTAGAGTGTAACGTCTTGTGTTTGTACAGTGCCTACGACATTGGTACTGCTGAAAACAGTATAAATATTTCATGAGTGCTTCCTCTTCCATCTGAACCGCAACCACAGACTGGCTGTAGGAACTTGATTCAAAGCGTGAAATGTTTTGCATTCTATAATTTTGAAACCTACTTCCACATGAGATTCTAAAAAAGTTTCCTCATCACAGTCTCTGTATAATCTTGATAGATATAGGCACACACAGACACATCCCAATACTTTACAGGCACCTTTTTAAAAAATAGTACTTTTGCTCATTGACTATACATTACGTAGAAAACGCTCTTTGGTTCCGTTGTATTCCACAAACACAGTTGCACATGGTCTCCCTTTAGGAACATGTCCTGGATCAAAGATTCTTATAGCAAAGATAGTGTGACTAGGATTGACTATTTTCTGTACATTATATTGTAATCCTATTAGTAGTAATACTGGTATTTATGCAGTGCTTGGAAGATCATTTAGAGATTATGCCTAGATGCCGCAGGGATGGTTGCTTTACAAATACCTAGAAAGACAAATATACAAGTGCTTATTTAATCTTTTGTCCCAGTAACAGTGGAAAGAACCTACTAGGAAAGGCTTTAAAGTTCCCTACAAGAGCTTACTCAGCAGGTCAGTAAAGAAAATGAGTAATGACATTGGAATAATTGTCTATTCTAAACTTGCTTTGAGGTGCTTGTCACGTCTTTGACAAGTTAGTCCACTTTATCTGTGCTCCATTTCTTAATAACTTGGTTTCAATTTCCTCCATCTTTCTATGTTGAGTTCTTCAAAAATGTGCTCATCCAAAGCTCTGGGTTCATGTACAAAAATGAAGCCAGTTAGGACCAATTTTCAAGGTATAGTCTTCCCAGCCTATCTAGGTAAGAGCTTTCGTCATCCACACAGCTTACTTTCTAATAAGAGCTTTTGAAGTGTGACTCAAATGTTACTATGATTGTGTGCTGCTGACATACTCTGTTTATCAGGAAGCTAGATTGCATGATCTAGATTGGATTTTATAAACTAACTCTCATATTTCAGCAGCTCTAGCCAGGGAAGTTTGAGACTTAAAGAAAAATGCCACTCTCAGTGTAGCTTAGCAGATGTACCATAATGCATTGCACAGAAAAATGATTACTTTCCAAGACAGTCATGTAACAAGACTACTACTTTACTACATTTATAGTTTAGAAGGAATTTGTATAGAGCAGAAACAAAGCTTGGTGATTTTTTCAAAGCTCTTTGAAGAATCCAACTGTATTTATAACTTGCTATTGAAGTGATCACAAATTCAGTTTGAAGCTTTGCTCTTACTTACTGGCATTAGAATTTTTTTGTTCATTGGAATTTCCTACCAATTTGAGTTTTCTGATGTAATCTGGTAACATGAGACCAAATGACGGTATTAGCATAGTTTATGCAGTAGTTCAAGAACTGTACAAGTAGAGATAGTTGCATATGTAATTTCATTTCTGAAAGCACAGAAATCCCAGCTGTACACAAGGTTGTGACCAGTATATAAACTATAAAGAATTTCTCACTTGCACAGAATGCAATATGAATGGTATCAACAGTTGAAGAATCTGCTTAGAAAAGATCATGTTGAAATAGTATCTTCAAAACATGTCATAAGCTATTTTGTAGTAGAAACACAATGTTTAAATTTAACATTTATGTTGATTGGACAACTTTGAAAGGTTACCAAAATAGTTTAACTTTGTGATTTCCTGCAGGTAACACAATGCAAATTATTTTTTATGCTAGCAAAGTAGTTTACTTAATAAAACTGTCATGAGACGACAAAGCAATACTTACCTCCATGTCAAAAGTTACTGTACAAAACTCTATTGTGAAATTGTCAGCCATATATGAAACCGGTCCTTCTAGATTTATACATGCCTGATATAGGGCTATGTGTTCTGTCTTATTCAGGGTGAACTATAAGTCCTGCAAACCCAGTTTTAAATTCTCGCTTCATAGGGCCTCCTACTATGAGGTATCAGTTGATGATGGTCCATGGGAAAAGCAGAAGAGTTCAGGGCTCAATGTATGCACTGGAACAGGATCAAAAGCCTGGTAAGTTAGTTTCACAATTTTAATATTAAAGTACTAAATGTTTCTCATCTGAAACAAATTTTGAATGACTTAAAGTTTGTAAAACTGTGTTTTCTGATATGCTCATTTTCTTTAGCTTCTAACGCATCGGGTCAATTATTTTGAGCAATATATAAGTTACCATAAACAAGTTTCTATCTGATGAATAACTAATGCATAATTTAAAAGAAAAATTGTTGACCAATATGTGCTCAGTTTTTCTGCCTATCATGGCTCTCGTGGCTGGGAATGGCAGACAGACAACCACATGATGTAAAGGGAAAGTCTTGGAGGATCTGGAGAGTGAAAACTACATTGGGGACACGGTTGTGGTCAGGAGAATGTGAGGGGAAGCCACCTGGAGGTGAGAGGTTTCAGAGGAACAGCCGTGTTAGTCTGTATTCGCAAAAAGAAAAGGAGTACTTGTGGCACCTTAGAGACTAACCAATTTATTTGAGCATGAAAGCTCAAACTCCTTTTCTTTCTTTTTCTGGAGGTGAGAGTTGTCCTAGGGGGGATGGGAAAGAGCCAGCCTCTGTTGGATTTGCAGAGTCCACCAAATTTCATGTCGGTCATTGCAGTGTAGCCCGTGTGTTTTTATATTAAATTGTTGTTTCACACTGGCCAGACATTTTTTCAGTTTTCATTGTGCTGTAGACTATTGTATTGGAAAATACATAATTTCAGGTGGTAGTTGTTGAGGATGAGCATGGAGGGCTTGGCAGCCAGGCAGGGCGAGCCGCTACAGTGTTTGGCAGCTGGGAATGTACATTAGGCAGATGATTGTGGATGGGTGATGGCAGATGGATAGCAATAAAATAGTTGTCACTTAAAGACAACTCAATTTCAAAGTTAAAAATCCAGTGAGATGAATGGGGCAGGTCACATGGATGCTTCCTGCACACAAGAAGACAACACTGCACTATTCCTATTTTCATGATTATCTTCACAATCTTAAGTGTTAGAAACATCAACTTTTAAAATGAATCTGGAGCATAAGATGGCAAGGGTTGAAGTTTATAGCAGATTCTGTGGCTTTTGTTCCAGTAGTGCCCAAATCCCAACTGGGCTTTTTTCTTCCTTTGGTTCAACAGCTAAAAAGAATGAGAACTTGAATCTTCCTTTGAGCAGGAATTTAATACAGGATCAAGGCCTTGTGCTACTGTACTGTGTAAAAACATAGTAAAAGACAGAGCCTTCTAATCTAATTTAATATAAAACATAATGGGCCTGATTTTCATTTACACAAAGACTCTTTTACTTTGGTGGTATAAAAGGGCCTTAAAGCATAAATATATATTTGTTTGAGTGGTGGAAAGCCTGCCTCAATGAGAATCCGGCCCACTGGGTCTTCTATTAAATTGGAAGACCTAATGGTCCTGATTCTAATTTACGCTCAGGCACCTTTACATTACTCAAGCATAAATATATTCCATTTTGAGTCCCTTTTACACTTCCAAAGTAATGGAAAGAAGTCTTTTGTATATGACAATCGGGTTCAATTAGGGTTGCCAGTTTTGGCTGGACATATTCCTGGAGGTTTCATCACAACGGTCTTTAATTAAAGATTAATCTTTCGTTCCTGGAGATTCTAGGACAATCCTGGAGGGTTGGCAACCCTACGTCCAATAAGTAGGTGGAAGAATGAGGGTAAGAGGGATATGCACATAGACTAACTATGCTCAATTTGCAGGTTTTGAATTGATTTTCTTTTAGATATAAAGAAAACAATTGCCAGCTATTGCTTGGTGGATCTAAGGATGGTGACAGAGGCAGAATTAAGTTTATATAACTTTATTTATGTCTTTCCAAAATGTAGATGATTTTTAATCCAACAGTTGTGTTAAGGCATTTTCTGAAATGGTTATCATCTTTACTAAACTTTGATTTCAAACATTTTTTTCTGCTCGATAATTTTGAAATCTTTATGGAAGAGATTTTGTCAGCTCGTGTTCCTCACCAAACACTATCTTTACTTCCGTGTTTAGGTCCTATAATATTAACAAGGTGGCTACCCAGGCTGTTGAAGAGATCCTTAAGATTGGTGAGTTGACAGCACGCACAGCATTACATGTTAATTTTATCTGAAGATGATCATGTCTAATTGGGTCCTTTTCTTCCTTTGGTTCAACAGCTAAAAAGCATGAGAGCTTGAATCTTCCTTTGAGCAGGGAACTAATACAGAAAGGTTAGTGAAAATAACATTTTTAGTAGTTTTATAGCATTTTTTAAATAATTCATATTTATTGTATTCTATTACTTAACAATTACAGCACTTAAAAGTGCTTCATTACGCTAAAGATTAGTTTTTCCTTAAGAGAAAGCACATTTAATTAAATATAATGTACCATATGATCTGCAATTCAAGAATCTTTATACTTTAATGTGTAACAGGCATAAATATTTTGGTAGAGAATTTCAGATCTTTACAATTGAGAACTGATACTTGGAATAATGGTTCTGAATTGAGAGAGCCAGTCAGTGGTTAGTCATGCAGTGGAACTATAATGACTCCTCCTGTAAAGATGTATCCTTTTAATTTTAACTGGGTACTTCTAAAAATCATAAATGCTTTCTAAACAGTTTTATAGTGGAACTGTTTCCTCTGCTTGAAATGTGAAACCTTGAGAATGACTAACTCCTCTAGAGAAAGTGATGGTCCAATTTCTGTATTTACAGTAACAAATGAATATAATGACTCCCTGCTGTATAGTCCAGAAGAACCAAAGATGTTTTTCAGTATTCGAGAGCCTATTGCAAACCGGGTTTTTTCAAGTAGTCTGCAGCGTGGGTTCTTTTCAAAGTAAGTATTGCCTATAAATGTAATTGAACACTTAGCATTTAACTGATATGAAGAATAAAATAGGTAGCCTGAGAGCTTGTCTTAAATGTGCTTGATACTCAAGTTTTTCTGTCCATACTGAGTGGGAAACAAGTGTCCTCCTTTCTCTTAGATGCTTTCAGGACTAATAGTGCGGACCAAGGAAAGAATTTCACTTCATCTGAATAGATCACATGAGATGGACAAAAATATAAACAATATTAAAGTGAACAAAACCATGGAGTTTACTCAAAGTGCTGAGGTCTGAATGTGATCGAGGCCCCCAAAAAATAATAGTATAGGAAAACTATTAAAGCAGGAAGCTTTTGATATGGGATGTGTTCTTAACAGTGTTCACCACCATTTGCATATTTTGTATTGGAGACATTCTATTTGAGTATAAATTTACACTAGGTTTGTTTGGTAGAAAGTTAAAGATGGGACAGTGGAGAGGTAAAATGCTGGATAATCTCATTCCAATTTAATAGATTAAGCCTTGAAATTCCACACACACACCCCCACATCCCCACTAAGATTGCTTTGTTCCTATGAAATTCTTTCCAAAAGTCACATCACAGTCACCCTCACTAAAGGAGGTGAGTCACTGTTTCTTTTCTCCCAGGAATGGACACTGTTCATACAGCCTTTAAAACTGACTCTGCTGCCTCCTTCTCCCCATTCCTCTCTGTACACCAGTGCCCCCTTGCAAAGGAATGGCTGATCCTGTCTTTTTGTGGGCTAGTTAGAAACTCCTTTTCTTAGGAAGTTGGACAGAACCCTTGCCTAATGGGAACTATGTAGTAGAATGAGACTTTGCTTGCAGGAAATGCATGGGTGGTAGCGGAACATAAGGGTCTATAAAATGTCATCCTCATCCCCATGAAAATATTGAAGCTTTTAATATGACAGGTCTTCCTCAAACTGTCCAGATTAAGGCTACGCCCACACTGCCCAGTTTACAGCAGCACAGCTGTGCCTCTGCTGTTTATCGGCAGGAGAGAGCTGTCCATACTGGCGCTTTTTGTCGGTAAAACTGTTGTCGCTCAGGGGTCTTTTTTTTTTTTTCATACCCCGAGCGACAAAAGCTTTACCAATGAAAAGTGGTGAACTCTACCCCTGCAACAGCAGTCCACCCAGGCCAGAGATTGGTAGCATTGTTTCTGAGGGTGGTGCTTTGGAACGTTTAAGGAGTTCCCATTTTCGTACCAGAAAAGATTGACAGGGACCTATTCCTTCCATCAGAGGCAGGGGGCAGGACATTTGACTGTATCTCAAAAGTAAGAGGATAATCAAGTAGAAATATAAAAGCTATGTTTAAATTAACCTTTTTTGAGATCACATGAAGACCAGGATTGGTCTTTGGCTTTACTGGAGCTTTTTTCCTACTTCAAGCATGGTTGGAAGAAGGTGTCTGTTTCTGAAGGCTTTTGGCCTGAAGTTTAGGTTATACTGAGCTATTGTAATACTTGAATATATTTATGTTATAAGATATGAGCCGTGATAAACAGAAATTAATGACATTCATTGGTTGTCATTAGAAAAATGATATTTTTCTGAATATTTATCTGAAATCATCCACTCAGTGTGCAGCAGCAGTCAAAAAAAAGTGAACAGAATGTTGGGAGTCATTGAGAAAGGGATAGATAATAAGACAGAAAATATATTGCCGCTATATAAATCCATGGTATGCCCACACCTTGAATACTGCGTACAGATGTGGTCGCCCCATCTCAAAAAAGATATATTGGAATTGGAAAAGGTTCAGAAAAGGGCAACAAAAATGATTAGGGGTATAGAACAGATTCCGAATGAGGAGAGATTAATAAGATTGGGACTTTTCAGCTTGGAAAAGAGATGACTAAGGGGGCATCTGATCGAGATCTATGAAATCATGACTGGTGTAGAGAAAGTAAATAAGGAAGTGTTATTTACTCCTCCTCATAATAAAAGAGCAAGGGGCCACCAAATGAAATTAATAGGTAGCAGGTTTAAATCTAACACAAAAATATTTTTTTACGCAACACACGGTCAACCTCTGGAACTCCTTGCCAGAGGGTGTTGTGAAAGCTAATACTATAACGGGGTTCAAAAGGGAGATAGGTCCATCAATGGTATCCCTAGCCTCTGTTTGCCAGAAGCTGGGATTGGGTTATGGCATGGACCACTTGATGCTAACCTGTCTGTTCATTCCCTCTGGGGCACCTGCCATTGGCCACTGTCAGAGGGCAAGATACTGGGCTTGATGGACTTTTGGTCTGACCCAGTATGGCCGTTCTTATGTTATATTAATTCATTCTTCTAAATGGTTGCATTGTACTTCTTATTACAGATGGCAAAGTTCTGAGTTCTAAATGTACAATAGAGCAGTGTTTCAAAATAGTTTTTACTACATGCGGATTGTGCATGGGGGTCAAAACTAGATTAAGACGATCTGGGGTGCTAGTTATACCCCAACACAAGGCCCCCTGAAGCCCTCTTTTCTTATTGTGGTCCTGCCCCCCCATCTGAAGTGATAGTGATGGAGAGGCTGTGGCAGTCGCCCCATTAACATCCCCCAGGAGTGGCAGCAGGAGCCTCCCTCTCCCTGGGAGCAGCAGGGGTAAGGGCCAGTAGGAACTTAGTAGTGCGGGTGAGTCTGCATGGGTGTGTGGGCTGGGCTTGCTGCATTGTTCTGTCACACTCACATTCCAGTTTCTGGGGGTGATACATAGGCCAGTTCACACCTCTCGGAGCTATTGTTTCAGACTTTCTGCATTCTCAGGCAGACATCACTGCATCAGGTATACTTGAGTCACATTTTCCTTGTGACGGTAAGGATAGAAACTTTCCTTTTTTTTAAATGAACATTTACATTCTGACTTTATTGTGTTGGATCTGGGACCAGGGCTTGCGACTATAGTGCTCATCTCTGCCTTAATCCATCCCTGCTCACAGAAGTCCCCCATATGTGTAAGTGTAGATTTATGGCTTTAGGATTCTTCTTGCTTTAATTGCTGTCCCATTTTTGGTCAGTGTGACATTTTTGAAAACTTATTTTTTATTTATACCACTCTTACTTTCTACACATTCTGAAGGATAAACCCCAACAGCTGAATTCCTTTTCATTTTAAAGGTAAGTTAACTGGAAGAATATGATAGTGGCAATGTCTGTTGGTGTTTTGTTCAGTATTAGAAGAGGGTGCTTCTAGAAAATTTATAGGTAAAGTTTTAGCTTAAAATACATGTAGTCAAACTCATTTAATATTGACAGTAATCAGCCAGTTCTACGTAAGGGATTCTCCAATAAGCAATATCACTTTCAAGCTTGCAGTTCTTTAGTGGTAAAAGGCAAAATCATTCCCATCTGCCCACATCTGTTTTGCATACAGTGAAGAATATTTAAACCTTTCACCTTGTTTGAAAATCACTAGTGCTGCTGATTAGAAATACTGAAATTGCTTGTGCAGTATGCAATGATGAATTGATGCTCATGACTTTAATTGGACATCAAATAGGTAGCATTGTGCTGAACTGGTTTCTTACAAAACTACACGGAACATAAATCTTCCATTAAGCAAGTCAGTATTAAATGGGTTTAATTGTAGCTTCCTTTCAAAACTTAACTGAGCAACAGCATTCTCATTATTTGATCAGTCGCACTATGTAGGCTGTCTTCCTTTTCTAGCAGACAATATAATTCTGGCTGGATGGCATTTGGATGGCTACTTTCATCCTTCATGTAGATTCCTTCCCTCTCCTAAGCAAAGTGCTAATACTGTAAATTTTTTACTGTTTAGTACAGTTTGAAGTTCATTTGAAAAGATGCTTAAAGAATAGTGCATTCTTTCAGTGGGATTCTATATGGATGGAGACAGGGAGGATTGATTTTAAATAATTGAATAATTGAATTAAATAATTGATTTTTAACCTTGTTTTGCATTTGTAGTTGTTATTTTCTTCAAGTGTAGTTGATTCTTCTTTGAGTGATTGCTCATATGTATTCCACAATAGGTGTGTATGCTCACCATGTGCACCGGTGCCGGAAGTTTTTCCCCTAGCAGTACCCATAGGGGAGCGCCCCTAGCGACCCCTGGAGTGGCACCTCCATGGCGTGGTATAAGGGGCGCTGCGCGGTCCCCGCACCCTCAGTTCCTTCTTTCTGCCAGTGAAGGTGCGTCAGGACTGCTCTGCTCCAGCTTTGCTGTAGCTCGTCCCCAGTACTTCTTGTTTGTTCAGTGTTGGTACCTGTAGGTAGTTATTTAGTCTAGTTTAGCCAAAGCGCCTGAGCGCATCCCGGGTTTTAAGTTGTGTGACACTTGTAGGCAATCTATGCCAGTGAGTGATCCACATGCAGACTGTTTACGCTGTTTGGGGGGAACCCATCTCAGCGATCACTGCATGATTTGCAAGTCATTTAAGCCTTGGACCAAGAGAGAAAGGGACATTAGGCTCCAGGCTATTCTTATGGAGTCGGCGCTGACTCTGGCTCCGGCGCACTGCTCCAAGTTGGCACCGGGTACCGTGGTGTTGGTGCGCGGTGACCCCTCAGCGCCATCAACTAACTGGCACCACTCCCTGTCCGTGGGACTCTCCAAGAAGCCTAGGAAGAGGCTTTCCTCGCCGCAGCACCAGAGTAAACCTGGGACAGGGGCTAGACCCATGTCGGGCAGTCCTCAGTCCCAACTGGCCCCTAGACCTCTGACTCAAGTCGAGTGGAGTAGCCTGGCCCATTCGGAGCAGGCCTCCCCAGATGTCCTCCACACTGGAGGCCCTGCAAGCGGCCCGGGATGTTATGTCCATGCCGGTAGCAGGAGCACCACTGGTGTCGGCCCTGCACTCCAGAGGCAATCTGCCACTGGGATCTCCACAGTCGCCCCGGCTCAGTACCGGTCTTGGTCGAAGGAACGTTCCAGATGCCATTCGCCACCCAGCGACCGTTCAGGGCAGAGTCCACGTGGATTGCCCTCAACTTCCATCAGCCTGTCTGGCTGGGTTCCATCCGATCAGGACTCTCCGCACCACTCTGCCTCGAGAAGCGAATACCAGCAGGACCGAGGCAGACAACGCCATAGGTCCTCATCTACGAAGGGCTATCGCAGCCTGTCACGGCACGGGCGTCGACGTCGTTCCCGTTCGTCATCCTGCTCCAGGACCCCGCCTCGGCACTGCCTCTGCAGTCCCGGGCGTCGATTGCCAGCGTCTCGCCATTGTGGGTCCGCCTGTTGGAGTCAATCGCAGTTTACTGATGGTACTGGTCCTCCATGTTGGGATCATGGTCCCATGGTCAGCACCGCTCCCGGCTCTACCACTCCTCCCGGTCCAGGGACAGCAGCGGGTCATATGTCAGCCTGGCCTCCCTTTGTAGTCGTCCATCGATGGGCCAAGCCAGCCAGACCGAGCAGCTGGCTCCCCTGGTGCTGCAGCAGGTACAGTGGCACCGGGCCCCGTGGTCGGCCCAAGGTACCAGTGGGCGCCGTGGCCCCCGACGCAGCCCCCAGTGGGGGCTTGCTCGGTGGCCGGAGCCTCGGAAGGACTATCGGCCTCCCTCTCCAGACCCCCGAGGAAGGAATTGGTGGGACGTACATCCTTGGGACCGTGCCTGGAGAGCTACTATGTGGTGGACCCTCCGGTGCCAGTGGACACACAAAGTACCACACCGGCCTCCTCACCCTCCCCAGATGAGGCGATTACAGCCCCTTCTCCCTCCGTCCCGCAGGAGGACTTTAGGGCCCACCAAGAACTCTTTAAAAGGGTGGCATCGAGCCTCCACCTCCAAGCGGAGGAGATGGAGGAGCCCTTGGGCTCCCTGTTTAACGTGCTGTCCTCCTTGGCACTGGGCAGGGTGGCCTTGCCTCTCCACGAAGGGGTGGCAAAAATTTCAAGTGCCCTGTGGCAAACCCCGGCCTCATTGGCCCCCATCTCTAAGAGAGCAGCACACAAGTATTTTGTACCCACGAAGGCACATGAATACTTATACACTCAACCACAGGGAACGGCAGGGCCAACCAGCCTCTACCCCGAAAAATAAAGATTGAAGGAGGCTGGACTCATTTGGAAGGAAAATTTATTCGTCCTCGAGCTTCCAGTTATGAGTGGCGAACCACCAGGCTCTCCTAGGCTGGTATGAGTTCAATCTGTGGGGCTCCTTGCCCAAGTTTGAGGACTTACTCATGGAGCGCAACACGAAGGAGTTCAAAGTGCTGGTGGAGGAGGGCACAGCGGCTGCCAGGGCAACCCTGCAGGCAGCTTCAGATGCAGTGGATACGGCCGCGCGGTCCATGGCCTCTGCGGTATTCATGAGACGAGTGTTGTGGCTCCTGCTCTTTGCACAGCGATGCGCGGACCTCCCATTTGATGGCAAAGCTCTGTTTGCGGAACAAACAGATACAAAGCTGCATGGCCTGAAAGGGAGCCTCCCTCCCACCGGACAGGTTCGAGACCCTGGAAGGGCTCATCGACACGGTCACAAGGGTTCCGGTGATAACAGCCAGAGCGTGCCTCCAGGTCTTGGGTCACATGTCGGCGTGCATGTATGTGGTCTGCCACACCAGACTCAGGATGAGACCCCTCCAGTTCTGGTTGGCCTCGGAGTTCTCCCAGGCCAGGGACAGGATGGACAAAGTCCTCATGGTGCCCGGGCCAGTGCTTGCCTCCCTAAGGTGGTGGTCCTCCCCGAGAAATATGCTCCAGGGGCTGACCCTTCGGGGCCTTGACCCTGAATGGGAGACCTGGGGTAGGGGGCCCATGTGGGGAGCGTTCAGACCCAAGGTCTGTGGTTGGCTCTTATTTACTAAATCACTGGTTTTCAACCTGTAGTTTGCAAACCTCTGAAGGGTCTGCAAAGTATGCCTTAAGATTTCCAAAAGGGTCCGAAACTCCATTCGAAGTGCAAGGGTCTGCAAATGAAAAAAGGTTGAAAAACACTGTACTAGATGGTTAATTATTTTACTTGTGATTTGTGCCAAGCTCTATTAGGATGGATTTTCAAATTCAATTAATATACAAACAGAAACATTGTAAAATGATTTTATTAGTTAAATAAAACTACTTTAAATGTGCTGGATACATACATTTTATGATAAACTTTTTTCTTATCAAAACATGTTTTGCATTTAAAACTAATTTATTAAAGTAAGTGTCATCTGTATGAACTGAGTTGAACAGATTGTTTCTGGTCACCATGTCTTTCAAGATTTTAGAACTAGTAGATCTCATCTAGTTTTTATTTGTAGATTGGAAGAGGGAAAACAAGCTTTCCTGCTTTTCTAACTTCCAATTAATGTCTCAGTGTTGGATTAAGTAGTCATTTAATTGAACTAGTTGAATAAACTGAAATAAATAAAATATTCTTTATGTACAGAAGAGGCTGCTGCTGTCAAAAGCGGGTTCTGCAGTTCAACCATTTCTAGTTCCTTCTGCTGACCCAGTGACTTCCACCAGTTCAGTGCTTTGACTTTATAGATGTTTGCTGGCAAGTTTTAAACATACTGCTTAATATTTTTTATTTAATTTAAATTATTTTAATAGATTATAGTAAATTTAGGCCTTAAAGTAGACTGTCAGTTTCAAATGTAATTTTAAATAGGTTTATTTAAAAAAAATTGATTATTTTAAAATAAACGTATTTAACTTAAATTTTAAAAAATCTATTTTTATCCACCCTGGCTTGGGATGTTTTTTTCTGATTTACTAACACATAAAACAAAAGGGGCTATTCAGTCTATTAGAACTAACCCTTTGTCCGATACTGTAGTGTATTTTCTAAATATTTTATAGGAAATCTGAGTGTAACACTTGATGACTTGTCTCTTTTTTTGCAGGGTTTGTGTCCGATCACGTTGTTGGGATGCCTGTATGGTGGTAGATGGAGGAACTTCTTTTGAGTTTAATGATGGGGCAATAGCTTCAATATTGATCAATACAGAAGATGCATTGCGCACTGTTTTGCTAGAAGAATGAAGAAATGTCATACATTCTGTTGGAAATCCTACTAAATCCTGCACCCAGAGAAGGGACTCACTGCAGAGATAGACAGTATATCAGAATGCTGCATTATTTTGTGTTGGAAAATTTGCTTCTCTTGATGCAAGAATATTGAGAAAAGTGACCTGAAATAATTTCCCATCCCTGGGATGGGGAAGTCTTGGAAAAAACTGTTTTTTGAGCTTTATTGCACCTGACACAAAGGAAGTGTATCCAACTTCAGTGAAATGTGATTTTTTTTAACCTTTTAAGATGAATGTGACAGAACACTTTTTTTAAAAATTAGGTAGATGGGTTCAAATGAAATAAAGTGGTTAGCCTTGAATATTCAACTGTACAGGTTTTTAATAGCAGTCTGGAACTGAATGAACCAAACACCTCAACCGTTCATACATATTATACTTTTACAGAAAAGTACGCTAAGATTCATTGAGTTGATGCAAGCATAAAGAATAGACTTTGGAAAATAAATGCTGATGTTGGCCTAACTGAAATGGAGATTTTTTTTTTGTACCCTCTTCAAAATTTTATAACACTACTTTGTGGTATGGTTTGTGGTAGATCTTTCAGCTCTTCCAGTGATTTTTCTACTCTTTTGGTATTTACTTCAAGACTTTTTTTTGGAAAGTGTTTGTTCCAGTGACTAAAAAAACTAATTTATTTTGAGTGAGGTAACTCTTCCCTGTGTTTCATCTGAAATCTAGATTTTTGTTGTTGTTGCCTGCTATAAATCTTTTTTTAATACAAATTATTTTAACTACAATAAATTATGCTGCTTCAATGAATACATTAACTGGCCAGCAAGTGTTCTGTCAATCAGACAGTTGAAGAGAATGGTATAGAATTATATAGTTTAGGTTTTAAAAAGCGGTATTTGGAGTTAGTAAGTAAAGTGACTTGGTTTTAAATTGAGTACTTGATCTGCTTCATAGCTATACTTCTGAAAATGCAGAGAAATGACATACCATTCTTTTTGTATGCCAAACATGTATGGGAGACATTAGGGTCTAATGGAAGAGGCACAGGATTAACCTCTATACCTGTTTTCCCCATTTGTAGAATGGAGATAGTATTTTGAAGGGAAATTAAATACTTTGATATTTATGCATAAAGAGCCCTATATGAGTGCTAAATTATTCTGCTGACACTCTCGACTGACTGACCGATTTATTCTTTTGGTCCCATACACACAACTTCATTATGCAGATAAGTATTTAAGCACAATGTGTCTGCAAAAGGGAAAAGCCCATTGTTATCCACAGAAACAGTAAACAACTCCATGATCATCTCCGGAAAGGTGGTGTGCTGAGTAGCATGTGGATTGCAGGGCAGAACTGGGCAAATAGCAGTTTGAATTTTATGCATGTGACTTAATAGCAACAAAAAGGGCTTGTTTCTACTGTAGAATTAACTTTTATTTCAGAAGTTACTCTTCAAATGATTCTTGTTTGAAGAAATTTATACTGCAGATTTACTCAGAAATTCTAATGGCAGTCAATGTATTTATTGTTTACATTTTGAAATGATAAACTCTTACTTTACAGGTGGAGCAAGTAGATGAATGATTTTACCCTTATTATCAAATAAGTAGTTTAAATAGGCTTATTTTTTCTGTACTCGGCATGAAAAGTTAAACTCCAATTAAATGTTAAGAGGATAGCCCTGAGATGGTTGAACCAATGATGCCATTGTAATGAGATCAGTTATAGTTACAGGTTTATGTACACTTTAGATACAACCTTTTCTTTTAAAAAAAAAAAAAAAAATTGCTGTAGGCTGAAATGTGGCATAAATGTCCACTTGAAAGCTCTTTGGGCTGCAAGTGGGAAGGTGGAGTCAGAATAGCCCAATAAGCTCTTTTGAAGCCATTGAAACTATTGGGCTTTACTGTTACCAAACTGATGCTCTTCTACATGTCTAATGCAAAAAACCTGCAAATTTGTTCTAAAACTGAATGTTAGTACACATTGTGGATTAATCCCTTTTTCAAAAGAGAGATGTGACTGTGCAGGAACCAGAGTATTCCAGTAAATTCATTGTTATGTAAAAAAGAATCCCCCTTTCAACAGTAGTTTCTGCATTCTGTCAATGGATAGGTTGTTTGGCAAATATCCACTGCTGCTGATTGAAGTGTTGCAGCTCCTTCATGTAAATATGCACTTTAAATGCGCTAACCCCAAAATAGCCCTTTTAAGTATTTAAATACCTTTTAAGAACACTTTATTTTTATGGCGTTTAAACTAAAGTTAAATAATAGTATGATTTAACTTACTAAAGTAAGAACACTGAAAAGTAGGGCAAAAACTACATCTTCCACTCAGCCAAAATTGTGAAGACTCTCCAAACAAATGAGGATAGATATCATGTGCTGTAATATTTAGAACGGGATGGATGGATGGATTAAACAAAATGAGGTTTTTTTGCTTTTGAGTTTCAGACCCTTAAATTGAGAATGCTGTGTCTTAAAAGCAACACTGCCAAGTAGTATAGTTCCAGTCTTTGACCTGCTTTTAAGATTTGCTATGAAATATCAGTTGGATTCATAACTATTAAAAAAAGACCACCGAATGAGTTAGTGGACCTGAACTGCTCTTTTGTGCCCTCTACTGGCTTTGTAGCTGAAGTTAATCACTTATTGTATTTCTGCTGCTCTTGATGCTGGTGCACAAACTTAAGTAATGAGATGGAACTGTTAGTTTGTGCTCATTAGAAATACTAGCATGGGGTCAAAAATCCATATTGGACAAATCAGTAGGAAGAGCTTATGCGTCTTATACAAATTAAGTGTAAACATCCCTTTAAAATTTGGTAAATTCTAGTGTTTATAAAGGAATGTAATATAAACAACTGATCTGATAGTCTAGGATACTTTTTTGACAGAAGTCACACAATCTAACTGCTTTGTCCATCCAAACAGGTGCTAACTCCAAAATCCAAAGGTGTTTCAGCAGCCTGCTCAATCCAGAACGTTTCGGTTAAGCGATAGTTAACACTACTTAACATTTTGCTAAACTAAAATTTGACATTCTTTGCTTTTTAAAAAGAAACAGTGGTATGTTGATACATACATGTAATAAATGAAATCTGAAGAGTTACATGAAACTGTTTAACGCCTTGTACTTATCTGTATCTTTGTTGCAAGTGCTCTTTTAAATATTTATTGAAATCTTTTGACTTGATATGCAGTTTTTCCAATGTTCATTAGTATTTGGCTAAGCAGGAAACATTTCTTTATAGCAGGGGTGGGGAACCATTTTTCAATCACGGGCCACTGACCCACAGAAAAAAATCAGTCGTGGGCTACACACAGCGCTGCGGGGGGGTGCAGAGGCTCTGGACTTCCCCCCACAGCAAGGCAAGCCGATGCTTGCGGCTCCAGGCCCCCAGGGGGCATGGAGGCTCTGGGCTGCCCCTAGGCTCCGGGGTGGGGTTCAGGGTGTGGGAGGGGGCTCTGGGGTGGGGAATGGGTTGGGGTGCGGGAGAGGGTTATGATCTGGGGCAGGGCGTTTGGAGTGCAGGCTCCGGCTGGGCGGAGCTTACCTCAGGTGGCTCCCAGTCGCCGGGACAGCGGGGCTAAGGCAGGCTCCCTGCCTGCCCTGGCTCTGTGCTGCTCCCAGAAGCAACCACCATGTGCAGCCCCTAGGCGGAGGGACAAGGTGGCTCTGCATGGTGCATGCTGCCCACACCTGCAGGCACCGCCCCCGCAGCTCCCATTGGCTGCGGTTCCCAGCCAATGGGAGCTGCGGAGCCAGTGCTGGAGGTAAGAGAGCTCAATCCAATATGGTGATTATAAATGTTTCAGGATTTCCTGTAAGGGACTACTATGGTTACAGCAAGCTTTGCTTGATTTATATCTACATAATAGTACTGAATCTTTTTTTTCAAACAATTAAACTATCTTTACACACTTGTCCATATGAGAGCTAGATTTTTTTGTTAATGTATGGATGGCCGTCCTGGGTCAGACCAGTGGTCCATCTAGCCCACTATACTGTCTTTGACAGTGGGCAGTGCCAGATGCTTCACAGAGAATGAATAGTACAAGGCAATTATCGAATGATCCATCTCTTATTGTCCAGTCCCAGATTCTGGCAGTCAGAAGTTCAGGGATAGCCAGAACATGGAGTTGTGTCCCTGACCATTCAGGCTAATAGCCATTAATGGGTCTATTCTCCATGTACTTATTTGATTCTTTTTTGAACCCAGTTATACTTTTGGCCTTCACACCATCCTGGCAATGAGTTCCATAGGTTGATTGTATGTTGAAGTACTTTCTTACGTTTGTTTTAAACCTGTTGGCTATTAATTTCATTGGATGACCCCCTGGTTCTTGTGTTTATATGAAGACATAAATTCCCTATTTACTGTCTCCACACCATTCATGATTTTATAGACATGTCTCATGCCCCCCAACCCCCCCCCCCCCGGGTCATTTCTTTTCTAAACTGAACAGTACTAGTCTTCTTTAAATTTTTTCTCATGGAAGCTGTTCCCTGCCCTTTTTTAATTGTTGTTGAACTTCTCTGCACCTTTTCTAATTCTAATATCTTTTATGAGATGAGTTGACTAGAACTACACACAGTATTCAATGTGTGGGCATACCATGCATTTATATAGTGGCTTTTTTATTTACTGTCATGTCTATCCCTTTCCTAATGGTTCCTAACATTGTTAGCTTTTGTGACTGCTACTGCACATTGACTGGATGTTTTCAGGGAACTATCCCATGATATCCAAGATCTTTCTTGAGTGGTAAGTGCTAAGTTAGACTGCATTTTTGTATATATAGTTGGGATTATTGTATTTATCAACACTGAATTTCATCTGCTGTTTTGTGGGAGCCCTTTAACTTTTTGTAGTCTGCTTTTGACTTGACTATCTTGAGTATCATCTAAACTTTGCCACCTTACTGTTTACTCCCTTTTCCAGATCATTTATGAATATGCTGAACAGTATAGATCCTTTGGGGACCCTGCTATTTACTTCTTTCCAGTGTGAAAACTGTTGGTTTTACTCCTGCCCTTTGTTCCCTAGCTATCCTCTCCAGTTACTGATCCATAAGGACCTCTATCCCATGACTACTTGATATTGCTTTAGAGCCTTTGAGGTGGGACCTCACTGAAGGACTTCGGAAAGTCCAAGTACACTGGATTACCCATATCCACATGCTTTTTGAGACCCTCAAAGAATTCTAATGGGTGAGGCGTGATTTCCTTTTATAATAGTCATGTTGACTCTTCCCAACATACTTAACTTAAATATTTAATTTGGACAGGATTTAAAGCATTTTCTATTCCATCACCATGCTGTGAGTTTAATTTCAGTGTACAGACTTGTACCTCACTTTAGGTTGTATGGACTTCAGGTTTTTCTCCCATGCTCCATTTTCCCCCAGTCCCTTGGTGAGGGTGTGGAAGAGCTCAGTTAAAGTAGGTTTTTGCATCTTACTCTGATGACAGATTTGCACCATCCCGATCTTGGTGAACACAGTAGCATGTTGTGAAAGTCTTCAAATAAGACAGACCTAGAGTAAGAGTGTAGTCCAAGTATACTTATTCATAGCTACAGCTTTTAGTGCACTTCAAGTGTATCCCATTCCACAGGTAACTGATATTCAAGTTACTTTCCTGTTACCACAGCAAGAGGGGGGTTGATTTTTTAAAAATTAGTTTATTGGAGTACAACAGTGAAATGCTGTAGCTTTTGCTAGTACAATATTTATGGAGAGAAATACAAGTTATAATACTCTTCTGTATTCCAAGCTTAAAGACTTTTACTTGATCTAGATTTATTACTTATCAACTTTAGTTTTGTTGTAGTTTCCTAAACTATGAAACACATGCAACTGTGTTAAACCTAAGAGTTTTTTTTTAAATGTATGAAGTTATGCAGAGAACACTTCAACCCTTAATGCCTTTGTCTTTATAATTCTAAATTAAGTCTTTAGGATCCCATGCTATGAAGACCTTACTCAGGCAGGTATTTCAAAAATGTCGGGCTGCTTAGATATGAAACTTGGCTGTCCTCAGTAAACTCAAAGCAAGATGTCAAGTGGGAGAAATAGTTTGACTGGAAGTAATAGTGCCAACACAACCCCACACTGTTATATGTGATAGTAAAGGGTCTAATTCCATACCTTAATAAGTGATTCACCTCCAGCTGGAGATGTTTAAGGACTTTTGAATGGGTTAAGAGTCATCAGATGAAAGAAAGCGTATCTATCTTAGGCCTGGTCTACACTAGAAAATTAGATTGGCATAACTATATCACTCAGAGGTGTGAACAATTCAAGCCCCTGAGTGGTGTAGTTAAGCTGACCAAAGTCCCTGTGTAGCACTAGGTTGACAAAAGAATTCTTCCATTGACCCAGCTATGACCTCTTGGGGAGGTGGATTATCTATGCCAACAGAATCCCTCCTATCAACATAAGTGTTACAGCAGTGCAGCTGTAGTAGTAAGTGTAGATGTACCCGTAATGTTTTATACTGCTGCTCCTCACTATAGCACTTGATCACCTTCCATGTAAAACTGATTAGCAGTAGCCATCTCTAGTAGACTGGATGGTCCTGTTGCTAGTTGGAGGAGAGGGGGTTCTTTTTAAACTCCCTACTGGGGACAGACATAGAATGGGGGGGTTAGTGCTTGAGTGCCATATCTTGTCACACTGGTTCCAAGTATAAATTCAGAAGTGAGACTTAATGAAGTGTTACAGCAAAAGACTGACCAACTATGGAGAATCTGTGACCAGATTGGTGGGATATAGAAATGGGAGTATCCAGGAAGACTTAAATTGGTCTCAACTTCTGTTAGCTGCTTAAAGTGAAAGCTCAGTTAAGGATACCTAGGATATGTGAATTGGTACATAAATGTTTAAGCCTGCTGCAAATTTGTCACCCCCTCCACCTCCAAGGGAATAAGGGTGGGGAAAAGTTAAAACCCAGGTTCTCCTCTTTCTCTGTTAACACCACACATTCGATTACTGAAACTACTTTATGGTTTCAGAGTAGCAGTCGTCTTCGTCTGTATCCGCAAAAAGAAAAGGAGTACTTGTGGCACCTTAGAGACTAACACATTTATTTGAGCATAAGCTTTCGTGAGCTACAGCTCACTTCATCGGATGCATCCAATGAAGTGAGCTGTAGCTCACGAAAGCTTATGCTCAAATAAGTTTTAGTCTAAGGTGCCACAAGTACTCCTTTTCTTTTTACTTTATGGTTGTACAGTAGAATCTCAGTTACGAACATCTTGGGAATAGAGGTTGTTCGTAACTCTGAAATGTTCATAACTTTAAACAAAACATTATGGTGGTTCTTTCAAAAGTTTACAACTGAACATTGACTTAATACAGGTTTGAAACTTCATTATTCAGAAGAAAAAAAATGCTTTTAACCATTTTAATTTAAATTAGAAGCACAAGTTTCCTTACCTCAAATCTTTTTTAAAAACTTTCCCTCTTTATTTTAGCAGTTTGTTGTTTAACACACTACTGTACTTTTTTTCTTCTTTCCATCTCTGCTGCTGCCTGATTGTGTACTTGCGGTTCCAAATGAGGTGTGTAGTTGACCAGTCAGTTTGTAACTGAGCTTCTACTGTACATACATTTTTTCTGAAGGTAATCTTATGGCCTGGGCACCTTTCTGTCTAGCCACCTCAGTCATGAATAAACTTATTCTCAGCATCTCAAACATAGGGATGTACTACATCCATTTTACAGATGGTGAACGGTGGCCCAAAGAAGCAGATCTAAGACTTACACCTGTGCCTTAGGCCCATATCTATCCTTTCCCTTCTCATGGGCTTGAATAGTTATCTAGTTGTTCATTTCTATACTTTCATATTTTTCTTTGCTGAACTACGATCAAAGTTGCTAAGTTTTTGGTGGGTTTCTTTAAAATACAGGAACTGGGACAACAGAGCCTAGAACCTTAAGGTTTGCCTCATTTTCTGCATTGTAGAACTTAAGGGAGTATGTGGGGACCTATATCTCCCTTTGCTATAGCAAACATATCTGCAAGACTGCTGCTTCTGTACTGTGGAGTGCTTGACACCCATTAGATCCCAGCAATCCCTTCCTCTCCTTGCCCTGAAGAGCTCTGTGTATTTCCCCTTTATTGCTCCTTAGCCCTCCAGTGTCTCAATGAAGGGATGTGAATACAGGGCTATATAAAAAGAAACATCATACTAAGCTTACCTATGAAGAGATTCTTGCATTAATAATGCATCTTTAGAAACTGTGGAAATCACAAAAAGTTAAATACTGATTAAGTAGCACAGAACTGGAATGTAAGTCAGACAATACCCAATGAAAACTTCACCCTGACAGGTGAGATCTTGGTTTCAAAAACTTGCAAAGGGGTTTCAAGTTTTAAACTACTCAGCACAGTCATTTTGAGCCAGTGAGGGTCACTTCTGTAATTGATATGAAGAAATGCACTGTAGCTCTGTTCTGCTGCCTTATAACTAGTGTCCGATTCAGCTTCCTCATAGCTCCTTTTGTGTGGATCTCCCCTCCCACGGCTCCTATTGCATTAAATTTCAGTGAATTTAGTGTCCAAAGCCATGGTTCCTTCCCGGTCCCTCCAAAAAGTAGATAGCACCAAATATTCCATCCTGTTCAGTTAAGAGTCTAAATAGACTTAATGCCCTTACTCATTCTGAGCTCTAAACTCTGAAACAGTCAGGATCGTACTGAGTTGTAATGAAATAAAACAGTTCCTTAATGACTGAGCATCACTCTATTTTGCAAGGGCTTTACTCAAAGCTGTGTATTTAGAAAAATATTACAGAAGCACCTTTGGACTCTCACAGTTCAAATAAAGCAACATCACAGACTGCAGAATTAAGCACATTGCCAAATAACTAGAACAGCTGCAATATTTACCAAACTTTCTAACTTAATCATGTTTAGCACAGTTGCAATAGTCACTTGGCTTTTGCAAACATCTTTCTAAAAGCAAGATTGACTTAAAATGCCTACAATTACTCATACCTGATTAGATTTCGGGACACATTTCTGAAGGCAGTAAGAGAAGGACAATATAAAAATATACTTATGAAAGTAAATTATAGCATAAGACCACGTTGAAACACTTTTTACAAGAAGAACTAGAGTGATGCTCCAGTGTTTGGGTTTCTTGATGAAGCATACCACGCTTGGTGCCAACAAAAGAAAACATCCAGCAAACTCTGCATCACAAACCACTAGGATTTCTCAGTGTCAGTCTGCATTTGATGCCCCAGATCTCCTGGTTCTTTTTGCTGCCAACAGTTGGCCGTGCAATGGTTGTAAAATGTGAACAATTGATCTTTATGTGGGGAAGTGTTTCTTTTAGGAGCTGTAGGGAATTGTCAGTCACTATTCCAAAAGCTTGAAGAGTCTTTAGTGTGGGAAGTTCACCAAGCTCACTATAAGGAGAGAAACAAAAGAAGCAGATCAATGAGCTGCAAAAATGGCTTAAACCTTTTACCCAAACTGAATACTATTTTTTTCATGAAAGTCTGGAAAATAGTTTTTGGATAAATGTTTGCTCCTATCTAAAAAAAAATCTGATTTTAAATATACGTAATTGAAACTTTATACTCTGTTCTGGTCATTCAGTAAGAAGTTCAATTGCCAAGCCAGATTGAATAGAGAAATAGGAATTTAAGTGCAGTGAAATGTAAGTAACTTTATTCATAACTAATGACCCTCACACATGCTAGGTTATTGCAGGACACGGTTGGTTTGTTTATTTAGTGTCTCTGCAATAGCAACGGACTATTAAAATCAACATTCAGAATAAGTGGACCAAATTGTGCCCAGATGGCAAATCCTACACATCAGTCGTCTCCTTAGAAATACCTTTAATAATCTTAGCTAATGATTACCTATTCTTCACTGTATGGAATATTCTATCATCATCAATGGTGTGCTAAGTCCTTTACAAGCGAGAACAGAGGTAGACAAGAATCAAAATGCTCAGGGTGGAGAGGGTAAGGAGCTTAATCCTGATAACACAGGGCAAGAAATAACCAGTGAACAGACTCTGGAGTGGCCAAGGTTTGTGACTTTTGTGGTGGCGTTTTGAATGGATTGAAGGGTTGTGGTAACAGGCCAGATAAGGTGATAGTCGCAGTAACAGGGCTGAGATTACAGTCTGGACAAGGAATCAGCAGAATGGAATTTGTGGTGATGTTTGAACTGGTCATACAGACCAAGTTCCTTGTGTTTGTCCAGCTATCATTTAAATGTGTATTTGCAAGTACAGTCAGGGACAGATGGATTCATCAGAAGGAACAAACACTACAGAGCTATCCCATAGCCACATCACTATTCCAGCGTTAAACGTCTTCCAATTCCCATTTTAACAGCCTAGGTTTAGGAATCAATATAGATCCGTTGCAAGTTCTTTTTTTTTAAACTTTGACAAACAATTTTATTGTACATAAATTGTTTCAACGAGTTTTATATTATCATTAAAGTAACAGATTTGGATTTCTTATACATCCAACCATTTAATGCTTTGTTTTACTAAATATTGTTTTTCACAATTTTTTGTGGAGCCTAGGTAAGGGAATCTATCTTGTTTAGAAAACAGAAATGGCTTAATGAATCATTTCCTTAAGGATATTATACTTCAACAGCCCCTTCATAGACATCAGAGGCTGCAGTACCTCTGTACTACTGAGCAATTTATCGGAGTTTTAAAATTCTTTCAGAGCAGCTACCTAATATCCCTTTAAAGAGTATGTAAATATTTACAGAGCTATTAGTCTGTGATAAGCTTTCACATACTTACTCCCTTCTCACTACTACTGAGAAAAGTGACTAACCTTGACATAGCTGACCCAGTAACAAACAAGGAGTAAAGTGACAGGTTTCAGAGTAGCAGCCGTTAGTCTCTAAGGTGCCACAAGTACTCCTTTTCTTTTTGAAAGAGTAAAAGGTTTCACCAGTCATCCTTAAGTCTCTCCATTACACATAAGTACTGAAGGAATCTCAGATCAGTGTAATGTGCTGTTCAAAAGTTCTTTGCACTTCTATAACATCTTCCACCAGAGAATATCAACATGTCTTTGGAGGAGATTTTTAAATGACAGGTACCCAACTCCTACTGAAAGTCACTAAGAGTAAGATGCCAAACTGCACTTGGCACCTTTGAAAACTGCTCCATTTGCTAAAAAACTTCACGGACCACCATGAGACAGATGTTCCCATTTTACAGATGGGGAAGTACAGCTAATTGATTTGCCCGAGGTGTCACAACAAAGCTGTGCTAGCCTACACAGATTCTGACTTAAAATGGAGTTTTAACACTCAAAGCATAACTTCCTTTGATATTTATTAAGAACAGCAATGTGGCCCATCATATATTTGAACTAAAACCCAAAATGTTAAAGAGGAACAAGAGGGAAAAACAAGAAGTTTCACCTATTGTTAACTTTAAACTTTAGGGGCAGATCCTCAGCTGGTGTAAATGGAAGTAGCATAATTCCACTGATGTCAGAACCATGCTGATTTATAGGAGCTGAGGATCTGGCCCTCTTTCTTTGTTTTTGGTCAGTTTGACACAATCATAATTTTGTATTAGTTTTTTGTTTAAGTTAAAAGATGTTCAGGTTGCAAAATCAAGCACTCAAAAGTTAGGAAATGCTAAAGTTAAGGTTGCCTGTGCAACTTTAATTCATGCATTGACAGTCTTTAGTTAGATGACTGCATACTACTATTCTCCACAACACTTGCCCCATTCAGTTCACAGGATGGTCCTGGTGTGAGGGATGACTCAGGGTTGAGTAGTGAATGAGGCTGTGGCTTAAGAAGTTTTAAGGTGTGTAGCGAATGAGGAAGGGTATTGCAAGAAGAGACAAGATAGTCTCGTGGTTAAGGCGGTTGAATGCTGCCCTGGAGAACTGGATTCCATCTCTGCCTCTGCAACAGAGTTACTATGGGATGCTGAGTAAGTCACTTAAACCAAACTTGTCACAGGTGGCCACCGGTGTCTCATTTTCTAAGTGCCCGATGTGAGACTGTTGTCTGCTTTGCAAAAATGCTATGCACGCACAACTGTAAACAAGTCAACGAGAGCTGTAATTTGACCATGTAAAAAGATATATAATGCTAACTACTCTGAAGAAAAAATAATAATCAGGTCTTAGGTGTCTCAAATCCAACACCCATTAGTGGACACTTCTGACAATCTTTTGGGGACAGATTTTTAAAGATATTTAGGTGCCCAGTTAAATTTTCCATGAGTGTTCAGCAGCTAAATATCTTTAAATCTGTCTCTCTATGCCTGAGTTGTCCATCTGTAAAATGGGGATAATACCCTCAGACCTCAGAGGTTTTGTGCAAATCAATTCATTAACGTTTGTGAATCATTCAGATACTGTAGTAATGAACATCATAGAAAAGCCTATAAGGAAATGAATTTTATATTCAGAGTCTTTTTGAATGGTGTGCAATAAGTAAGGCATAGGGCCACAGCAAGAAAAAAATAAAATAGTAATTAGTTGCTCAGAGTACCATCCAGGTTGTACACTCAATGAGGCAGGGGTCCCCTGGAAAAGACAGTACATGTAATTAGATTCTATCAATGCATATACACACAAGGGAGGCAAATTAAGGTTAAATAGGCAACCTTAATTTGGGCAATTCCTAACAGTTTTTTTTTTTTTTTTTTACTTTGAACCTTAATATTCTTTTTAACTTCCTCAGTATAAAAGGTGAACTTGGAAGAAAAACAACACCCAGGAACTCCATTAGGTGGAATCATATTTACACTCTCATGGTGCAATAAGCAGAGCTGGAACCTTTAGATCCACATCACAGACCTATGCCACTTGAGCTAATGGATTCACTGATAGCAGGTTGTCATGTGCATGCACCAGCACTAGAGGGAAATGACACAGACACTTCACCAGTGGGTTCATAGATTTTTGCTGATGCCAGAGGAGACCCAGTAATCATCGGCTCCATCCTGCCTTTTAGTCCCAGCCTTCCTCTTCTGTTTTTAAAGATATTATTTGCAGTTCAGGATCTTGAACAGTTTTTATTAAGTATTTCTGATCACCTTTTAATTCAGTTTTAATAGTAAAGAACTATAATGGGTGTAAGACATTACTCACAGTAAGTCAGCAGGAGATATCTGATAACATCTACTAAGAGACAAATGCTGTAGGTAGATGAGCTGATGAAAATATTGAAAACATTCAGGCTTCAACATTGCACTGTCACTGTAATAAAAGGGATATATAAGAGTTGGATTAAAAACGTTCCTTTTCAAGAACACAAAGCTTAGAAGCAAAGTTTCAAGTGTTTCTGAAATTCGGAGAGAAAAGTTTTGCACGCATTAATATTAAACACTTATCTGCCTTCAAAAGCTTTCTTCACTAGCTTATTAACTATTTTCAAGTTTAACATGTTTTCTTCCTTATTAGAAATTAATCACCAATTTCCATCATTTTTATTTTTTGGAGGAGGGAAAACAGTAGCTTGTTTTGCAGGAAGCTGTTTTGGCACAGGAACTTAGGTCACAAAAGGAAATTGCTCTACATGTCAAGAGTTCTAAGCAGTGTTTAGTTGATATGGCAAAAATCAACTTATACTTTGACATTTTATAATCCGGTTACAAATGCACGACAGGCAAGAGAGTCAGTGACAGCAGATGTGGTTTATTACTCCTGAGGGATTCTGCACACATTTTAAATGTTTTACAAAATTCTCTATATTTTAGTGGTCAACTAGATGTGCAGGCTCCAGCATGGCAGTGGGGAGCACAGATCCCTAGCTGCACGGAGGTGGGAGATCACCCTGCAGTCCCACCCGGACATGGAGTCAACCGTAAGGCTGCACCCGACCCTGACACACCCCAAGGCCCTGTCTGTCCACGTCAGGCACACCGAGATAGCAAGCGAGAGGGACAGAGTCTCGCGGCCTCTGATCCAGGTGTGGGGCAAGTAGGCTCAGCTCAGCAGGATCCAAGTGTGGAAGGGCTTAGTGTGGGTATGTGGGGTGAGAAGGTTCTGTGTGGAGCAATCTCAATGCAGGTGGCTCAGTGGAGGATCCGGGTATGGGGGGGGGGGGGGGGGAGAGAGCTGGATGCACAGGAGCTTGTTGGGGGGTTCTGGGTACAGGGGGAATGGGACTCTGCAGGAGGTCCAGGTGAAAGATGAGGCCTGGGGGGGGGTGGTGGTGGAGCGACTGTGTGCTCAGTGGGTCCAGGTGCTGGGGGAAGTGGGGCTTGGTGGGGTGGAGATCTATGTGAAGCTGATTGGGTGATCAGTGAAGTAGGGGTCGCTGGGCCTGCTTAACTGGGGAGCCTGAGCTGCGGCTGAGGGAATACCACAAGCTTGGCTCCCGCTTACCACCTGAGATGCCCCTCCCCACTGCTCTCTGCCCTTCCCCATCCCACCCCTCTTCCTTCCCTACTGCCTCTTCTCCCTACCCCACCCTCTTTACCCTGCCCCACCGTGGGTCTTCACTGTTGTACAGAAAACAGGATGGGCCCCAGCCCGCAGAAGGGGAGCATGACCAGCACTAGGACCATGGAGGTGGGGTCTAGCTGCAGCAGCAGTAGAGCAGAGCAGCGCAGCACTCTCCTTCAGCTGGGCAGCTCTGTGCTCTCAGCCATTGGGAGCAGGGGGCCAGTGGCATGTGACACTGTGTGCCCCCCATGCTTTGCCTCTGTTTGGGGGGCAATTCCCCCCCACCCCCCCAAACTACACCATGGGTGTTCTGACCCCCACGCAGCTTCCCTTTGCTTTCCCGTCATTTTCTGCAGTGGGGACATGAATTCTGCATGCAATGGTGCGGAATTCCCACAGGGGTAAATGAGTTTAGCTTATCCCTTCCAGAAAAATATTTTTTCCTATCTTGGTAACTTGCATATTACCCTCAAAGATACTGTCAAGCTGTATACCCCCTGTGACTTACAGTCAGCAGCACTTAAGACACTGAGATCTAATATATAAGGCTACCATTTTCTCATCTGGAAGTTATTGTACCTTAAGTCTATTAACTTCAAGCATTCATAGCATTTCTCTTGACAGCCACCCCTGGCACACAGCATACGCCCACAGCACTACAAGGTTTCTCGGTAGCAGTGCAGCCCCTTGGCAGCTGCCCCAAGCGAGAACACCCCCGAACCCAAGTAGCACAAAGGCAACTTAAGATACCTTTGCTTCTGCCCCTTTCAGGCTGCCACTTCTATCTTGTTGGGGTTCCAGCACAGAATTTGCTCCCTGTGCATCTGGATTTCTGCCAGCAAAAGCTACAGGAACCTATGAGTGAACCTAGCCTAAAGTTTATAGCACAACTGACCAGACAGCTGGAAGGGGCAAAAGGTAAGAGAGAGGGGGGTGCATAACCAATTCTCAAATAAATTCCCCTTTATTAAAACAAGTTTTAGATGTGATCTTGTACTAAATTCTATGTATTCCCCCCCTTTTATATAACTTGCTCAATATCAAAGTAAGCAAACTCTACAGTAACATCGCAAACTGGTTTCTATTTTCACACTCAGAACTCTCAGCCCAAAAGGTGAGTTTCAGAAACTTTCTGTGAACAATTTCTGTCTCAAGGAATTTTTTTTTTTTGGTAAAAAGTTTGAGCAGAATACCTTCAAAATGTTTGAGCCAGCCACAGTGTATTTGGGGAGGCAAAGAGGAGGCAAGAATCCTTTTATCATTAAGAAAATCCCAGCATATTGTGATAGTCGGTACCACAGTAAACAGGTAACGATGGGCACAGTTTAAGAACCTGATCAGAACAGAACCCAGCTGAAGCCTGAAATTTGGCAAAGAAATAAATCTTCCAAGGAGTGACATCTGTCTATGGTGGGGGCGGGGGCAGGCGTTTCTGAGCACCTTCAGATCTTGCCTGAAGGTGCTCAGAAACAACAGTGATGAGCTTGGTATGAAAATGTATGTAGATATCTATCACTCACTGGTTCCTCTAGCTTCTGCTAGCACAAACCCAGATGCACAGGGGGCAGATTCTGTGCTATGGCCCCAGAGAGACAGAAGTTGCAGCCTGAATGGAGTAGGGGCAAAGATTTCTTGATACTGTTTGGATTCAGGGCTGCTGAAGAGTTTCTGATGCACAGTTTTTTTACCTTAAATCTAACTGGATGAGATAAGGGCATCTTGTCACCAATGTCTTAATATCTGGAGGCGGGGGGAAAAAAACATGTATATAAATCAGCCAGGCATTTTTTTCCAGCAATATTACAGCTTCTCCTGACCAGTAAAAGCTACCTTTAAAGTTATATGTTTGAATTATTCACTGCTAAAAGTTACATGTTTTCTACCAACATGAGTTCTTGAAAGAAGGTTGTACTTGTTTAAAGAACACTTGTACTACACTTGAAACATATACCAAATCTTTTTCACCTACTGATGTTTGGTGCAGACCCTTAAAGGATTTAAATTCTTAGCTTTGTCAAGAAAAAAAATATTTTGTCCGCAGAAAAAAAAAGTGCCCCTGAAATGCCATTTGCACCATCAATATATAGTAAAAACTTTTTTAACCAGTATGCTGGGAAAACAGGGGATGCCAGTAAAGTAAAAAGGCTGGGTAACTCAGAGGGAGGGGTTTGGAGTGCGGGGCGGGACAGGGGCGTGGGAGGGGTTGTGGGGCACAGGTTCTGGGAGGGAGTTGGGGTCCAGGAGGGAGCTTGGGTGCCAGATGGGGGGAACGCACCTGCAGCAGCTCCCCATCCCTGCTGCTCCTGGTGGAGGCGTGGCCAGACAGCTCTGCAAGCAGGCACACTGCCTCCATCTGCAGGCACTGCCCCCCCCGCCCACAGCTTCCATTGGCCGTGGTTCCCGGCCAATGAGCTGAGTGCCATGGAGTCGGTGCTCAGGGACTCGAGGGGGGGACAGAGGAAGCATGCCTGCAGAGCCGCCAGGCCGCGCCTCTGCCTGCAACAGCAGGAATGGGGAGCGGCTTGTGGGGAGCTGCTGGAGGCAAGCGCTCCCCTCTGCATCTGACATCTTGAGCCCCCTCCCACGCCCCATACCCCCAGCCCATCCCATGCCCCTCCTGGCCCCACACCAACCACACTATAAACCGGACTTTAAGTGCAGATCAGAAATGCCGGTTTATAGAGCTCGCCAGTTGAAGTGCTTTTACTGTACCAGCCGGAAAAACATTTGAATTTAGTCACTTTTCTTAGTAGGAGAAATTTACTAGGTTTACAGGCATTCTGAGGCACTCCAAAGCTCATTCATGCAACTGAAAACCACTACATGACTTCCATCATGTAGAACACACTCATCTTTGTAGTTTCTGGGTTTTTTGGATACCTGAAGTTTTTCCTCTGTAAATCGAAGCCTTGTAATTTCTAAGTTCCTTCCTCATGACTCAAAATTATATTGTTTGATTGCCTTTAAGTGTAAGGTCCGTAAAACAGGGACAGTCTTTTCATTATTTATGTGTATAGCACCAAGCCCAGTGGGGCTCGGATTCCTGATTGTGGTGTTTAAGTGCCAATAATAATAATAGAAGTGGTTACCAATGTTTCAGAGCTCATGTACAAAAATTAGCAATAATGCTGGTTAAGTTTCCGGGTTAATGTTTTGTTTCATGAATTGTACTACATAAAGCGCACCTTCATGTAGGCAAAGGCACCATTGCATTTGAAATCAATACTCTGGGTCTGAAGGACCAAGAGGAGATGCAAACAGTTAAACAATCACAGCTACACTTAATTAAGGTTCCACATATCATTCCACTAGACCACCAGTTTTCAGTGGTGCTATTTACCTGGTATCTGTAGATTTTGTCTGTATCCGCTAAAATTTAGTTGAGTTACATTTGTAGAAATGTGGTTGACTGCTGCTTTAATGTGATCAGCTGTGAAGTCACACCAGGACAAGTTCAACTCTTCCAATCTATGCACAAATAAAAATACATCCATTTGGAAGCATTGCAGAAACATAGGTTTGGCCTTAAAAGCATCCACGTACTGTTCAAATACCAAAAAAATCAAACTGTACATGAGAAGATATATACCATCAAGTTTCTTCATTAATGACACCAAATTTTAAGAGATCAGATTAAATAGATGGCATAGAGGAATTATAATGGGATAAAGAGCATCTTGGTTGCCAAAATGCATCAAGCCAGCAATGGCAAAGTAATCATCATTTGTTGTTGCTGTGAAGTGGGGTATCTGCCATAGTCTGGTTCCTAATGGATAGGACTCCACCTTTAAAGAAGAAAAACACAGCTGTTTGCTCCTTAATCTATCCATTATTAACTGGCCACCGGATTTAGTTTGTGTGTATTTTTTATAATGTATAGAAATATCATACATGTTTTGAGTGCAACCCTCTTCAACCCTTCACAAATTGCTTGTGTTGTTGGTAGCTACTGGTGAGGTGCTCTGCTCTGGTTCGATGACTATAACAGTCAGCTGTGTGCGTGTTCCCTCTGCGTGCTGCCCCAGTTCTGCGCAAATGGCTAACACAGAAGACCCCGAGAGAACCCTCAAAGACCACAGACTCTAGTAAGGTACGAAGGCACCCAGCCAGGTTTATTGTCAAACGAAGCACAGTAATAGTTTCCTATAGACTCTATAGGACATACTACGAATATGTGCCCCCTGGCAATGGACACAGCTCAATCAGTGGCGGGACATTCCACTGCCTTCTAGGCTGGACAAAGATATGCGCTCCAGGAACTATTTTTATACAGTTGCAGAATAGATTACTCATCCCTTTTGATGTACTGAGATACAGCCCCTTGACTCATTAGGGTGCTGTCTCCCCCTTTGATCATGTTGGTTCAAACAAACAGATCTGTCCATCATGCTGTCCTTTTGACTCTGTCTTTGGGATGCACCTGGCTGTTCCTTGTTATCTCTGAAGTGTCCTCGTATCGGGATTTCCAGGTGCCATCTTGGCACACGTTCCTCTTATTACTACTTATATCATTAGCCCATGCTTTCTAGGAGCGCTGTTCGTGCCAAGTTCTGCAATTAGGGCCTGCCTCTGGCTCACAGCCCAGCTTTGCTTGCAATGCCTGGAAGTACTTTGGTTCAGGCTTTAGGCCTCATACCAGGCGTCTGATACAAGGGTTTATGTTTTAGGGCCTCTTACTACAGCTTGTCGTAGATTGTAAGCTGCTTGGGGCAGGGACTGTGTACTCCTTTGTGTGGACAATGTGTAGTACATTGTGGGTGCTACCAGATTACAAATAAATAACCAGTACTGCTGAATTTTTTTTTGGTTGTCTCAACGTAGGTCAAAGAAACAAGTCACCCTCCCATCCTTACGGGTTCCTCAAAAACAGGGTTAAAGCATGTTGGCGAGGCAAAGAAACGTGCACTGCTGAGTGACAGGATGTATCAACCCCGCACGGGGCCAACGGGGGCTGACCGATCATTGTGGGCCCAGGAAATGACACCCCCGCACCCCTACTGCACATGGTCCAGGTGCAGGGGACAGATAAAAGGAGGCTGCTCAGCTCAGTCAGTGCTGGTGGAAGAGGAGGAAGGATGTGTGCTGCAGGCTCCTGCAGACGAACCATCGACTCTCCGTGAATCTGGACTATGCTGTGGATGACTAGCTGACTGCAGAGACGCCGAGCTACTGCCAGCTGAGGAGATGCCCGAAATGGGCTTTATGGTAGGAAGCGACCCAGGGAATCTGTTAGGACAGAGGTGGGCAAACTAGGGCCTGCAGGCCACATCCAGTGAACTAGGGTAGGTGTGGGTCCCCCTGTCCCACACTTGCCACTAGATGCGACTACTCAGGTCTCCTGATATAAACTGAGTGTTTGCTCTGCCTCGCCCCAGGGGCTACAGACTGATTGATTGTTCTGCCCCGACTGGGAATCCTGACAACCATGTGATTGGGTGTGTCAACCCCACACTGAGCAAACAGGGACAGCTCCCACTCAACATGCCAAGCCCTCGTGACATGCTGTGTGTCACCAGTTCTGTTACTTACTATCAAAATATACCACCACCTAAAACAGTGTTTCCTCAACCCGTGGGTCGGGATACCAGAATGTTTCAAAGGGTTGTGTGGCAGCTCCTGTCCCACGGGGCTGGCAGGGCTCACCACCCTGCTCCAGGCACTGCAGCCCCTGGGGTCCCAGCGCCACTCAGGTTTGGCCCAGCCGTCATGATGACTGGAGTCTGAGGAGGCCACATTTGAGTGAGTGGCACTGAAACCCCATGAGCCAGGTCACAACTCTACTCACAGAAATTTGGTCCATTCAAGGGGGTGTGGCTGAACCTGAGTGGTGCTGCAACCCCAGAGGCTGCAATGCCTAGAGTGCAGAGCCAAGCCCAGCCAGCCCCACAGCAGCTGTAGGAGCTGCCACCGTGGGGTGAGTGCCAGGCAGGACCCAACCCTCCTCCCCCAGGGTTCCAACTTAAGCCACCCTAGCCATAAACTTTTACAAATGGGTCCTGAGCCCAAAAAGGTTGAGAACCACTGGCCTAGACGTCCCAACCAAGATCAGATCCTCATTCTGCTAAGCAGTGCATATACATATAGTAAACAGGGACAATCTACAACCTAAGTTGATAAGACAAAGAAAATATTATCCCCGTTTTACAGACTGCAAAGTGTGGCATAGAGATTAAGGTTTTGTCTACACAATTTGCACTGGTATAACTGAGGAAGTATGTTTAAACCCACATAGTTAAATCAGTACATGTTAAGCTTGCCTTTGCATTACGTAAAAAGAAAAGGAGTACTTGTGGCACCTTAGAGACTAACATTTATTTGAGCAAAAGCTTTCGTGAGCTACAGCTCACTTCATTGGATGCATGCAGTGGAAAATACAGTGGGGAGTTTTATATACACAGAGAACATGAAACAATGGGTGTTACAGTGTGTATGGTAACAAGAATGATCAGGTAAGGCAAGATATTACCAGAAGGAGAGTGGGGGGCGGACACGACACGACGACGACACACCTTTCGTAGTGATAATCAAGGTGGGCTCCCCACTGTATTTTCCACTGCACACATCCAATGAAGTGAGCTGTAGGTCACGAAAGCTTGTGCTCAAATAAATTTGTTTGTCTCTAAGGTGCCACAAGTACTCCTTTTCTTTTTGCAGATACAGACTAACACGGCTGCTACTCTGAAACTTTGCATTAAGTAGTTTCTCCAACATTACACATGAACTCTGGATTCATTTTCTGCCACAGATCTCCCAAGTCCCAGTTCAGTGCCTTAACCACAGACCATCCTTCTTCATGTTGGCAGATCACAGAACATTAGTCTCCACAAGCTGTCAAATTTTTATAACAGTACTACATCAGTTAGAACGACTCTGTATGTTTTTGAAGGATTGTTTTAACATGAAGTGATCTTTTCTACCATCAAAGTTGCACACACTGTGTAAAGGGGGCTCATCAGATATCATTTCACAATTTTTAAAGACACTTTCACTTTGACAGAGTTTGACTTGTCACTCTTTCAATAAGGAAATCAACTTTGCATGAGGATATTCAAAACAGACATAGTTAAACTCCCTCCCCCACCCCAGATAAATGTACCCATCTTTAAGGAAGATAAGTTTAACAAAAACATGAATTCTCTGAATCTTCCGCAGAGGAAAATACCCTATTTAGATGTTCAAGAACACAAATTATAGTTCATAAAAGTTATACACTCATGCCAGGGGGTGCTCAGATGATCATTTCTCCCAGGAATATCAACAGGTACATAAATTAATTCTGTCTTACCCAGAACAGTTGATCAACATCATCATCAATGCTTCTGCAGAAAATTCAGAACATCCAGAGAGATTTAATCGCACCAAACTGGAATTCTGAGCGATGCTTCTGTGAAGACCATAGATGGAGTGTCACAATGCTTTCACATCTCTCCTGGTATTATCAATTTTATGGTTTGTTTTCATAACTAAGTTCCAGGCTCAAGATGGCCTTAATTTAGTAAAGATACATTTGTGCATCTCTGCCTAGTGAGCCCTAGGTTTTCAATTTAACAGTTAAATAGATGTTCTGTAACTGTTTACCTGCTGCATTAGTGTACTTGATAAATCATACACTTGAAAAGGGCTATTATCTCTAGGGTCCTGGCCAAATTCCTATTTGGATATTTACATTCTGCCTAATTGAATATTTCCCTTGCAGTTTTAATGTTCCTCTGCCCTGTTAAACAGCTGCCATGTTTCACCTCAGAGGTGGCTGCATTTCTGTGATGGATAAAGCAATTATCCCATTTGTAAAATAAGCCTCAATCCTGTAAGTAGATGTGCCTATGCAGACCCCTGCACCCAAGTGTGATCTTGCTGAAGTCTGTGCTACTCTAGCTATTTACAAAATGAGGGCCTGCATTTGTAAGTTGTCTGGGGAGCCTTCTGCACATGAGAAGGCAAATAAATAAAGTTATTATTGAATATTTCTTGTATTGAATACTTCTTGTGACCTCATTCCAGCACAGAGGAGGTTAACTCACCCTGTTAGGCTCAACTAAACCAGTCCCTTCTCTCTCTCTCTCTCTCGCAGGGGCAAGTAGTACAAGAACAGGGCCCCACAGCTCAGTTAAGAGTCAGATCAGGGAAGGAGCAAGACGTCCGTCCCACTGTGGCAGGCGATGACCCTCCAGAGCCAGCTTGGAGGGAAGGAAACTGCTACCGCGGAAGACTGAGAAACCCAAAGAGGGAGTGGAGAGCAGGTCGTCTGACAAGGAGAGGGGGAACCAGGCCCCGGTGGCCATGGAGCAGCCCCACCAGATGCTGGTAGGAAGAACCCTAAAGCGTTGGATCATATTAAAGAAGTTTTGTATTAAAATCACAAATGAATTTGATTCCCCATAGTTTAAATTCCAGGATATTACTAATTAAGAGGTCTCTTGGTTTTTGGTACTGTTTCTCTCCCTCTGTGTGAAACTTGCAAGCTGCTAATTGTGTTAGTACATTCTAAGACGGAGTCTGTTCTCAAAGCAATTCTTTGTAACAACAACTACACACACAGAGAGAGACTCAAAGCAATACTCTGTAACAGAAACAGCACCCAGAGACTCCCCGCCCTTTTGTTGTATTCATCTCGCTTTGTTAACAATTGTGATTAAAATAGAGACAGAGGATGTATCTGGATGGATGCTTGGTGCAGATAATAACTGAATGATCAGGGAGGTGCCAGCCTAAGAATCCAGTGCCCATCGGCTGAAGAAGGCATCAGGTGGAAATAACCAGAGGACCCCCAGAGGGCAGACTGGAATCCACCCAACAGCCTCAAGAATGAGAGAACCAAAGAACAAGATAACTTCTGGCAGCACGGAGCCGTCAGGAATGTGCCATCTGCTGACTGATTCAGCAACAGCATGATGAAGCAATTCCCATAGACTGGCATAGGAAGAAATTCCTATAAAAATGGACTCCAGAAAGTGAGAACTTTGGGGTCTTATTCTGCAAACCAACTTCCAGGAGCATCAGATGAGCATCTGACAAGGCCCTGCTCCCTCCTCATGTCCAGGCCACCTGGCCAGTGGCTTGGCATGAGCAACTCTAAGGCTGGTAACTATGATAACAACCTTGCAGAACCTGTGTGTGTATGAATGAATATGAAACTGAATGGAATGTTATAGCTATAATTAACTGCTTACTATGATTCTTTCTTTCTGTATTCACAATAAATGTGGCATTTTGCCTTTTCCCCTTTAATAAGATACTGCTGGTTTTTATTTTATTGGTATAACAAAGGAACCGACACATTGGTCTGTTGTGTTGCTGGGAGGCAAGACAGTGACCCCACGTTCTCCCGGCAACCCCAAGATGGAATCACCTGTCATTTCTAGTGCCCTGGGCTGGGACCTGGTGGAGCAGGGTGGGTCCAGGTTCCCCTGCCCCCGACCCTCCACTTTGGGCTGGAGGAGTGCTAACCCTTAGGTCAGAAGGCCAGAGCCATTAACAGTTGACTTATTCGGCCCTCATTCAGGAGGCCTAAGCTGCTACTTGCTCAGTTGGAAGCTGGGATGCCCAACAGACTAACCAGGCATAAGTGCTGATGATTCACTGATGCCATCAAAGGAGGTGCCCATGGTCCTGAGATGCAGGAACCTTACACTTTTGAACATGCCCACTCACCTAATTATATCATCAGAAAGCACCAGTCCTTCTAAGCTGAGGTTCTGTAGTCTATCACAACGACAAAGAATAGTATGGAGATCTGCAACATTTATTGTGCAGTTGGATATGTCCATATGTTTCACTCTAAGAGGTCTAAAGAGGGGAAAGGAGAAAGGCAGACCATAAAAAATGGATTTTAATATTTTTTTAAAATTCAGGTAGCATACTGCATTTGTATACTACAAATGAATGCACAGCTAGCAGAAAATGTATACGCTTTAATGAATGTCTGATCCATCATTGCTACTAAGCTGGTTACCAAAACTGCAAAATTCTATTTACGTTGAGGCATACAAATCTTTAAGACTCATATCTCTGTCTATGCTAGAGTTAAATCATATTTCCTTTAACTTTGCAAAGAAATACTTCAGTGGTCAGTAGTTCTTGGTTCTTAAAAAAAAAATTACTGAATGGTAGTAAACTATACTCCTTAAGATTGTGTTCATCAGTTCTTGAACAATTTTGAATCAAGAACAGAATGCAGCTCCCCTGATAGTCAGCCCAGTGCCTTATTCCCTGCTCCATGCTGCCTCTATTCCAAAATTTATAGATGCCACAAGTGACAACCAGAGGTGCTAAATCAAAGAGATTGGTTGAAATATATGAAAAACTGAAAGAGAGACTTTGTTCCAGGGCACCAAAAGATGGTGACAGCCTTACCGGTTGTTTTTAAACAATGGTTTCCCAATACAGGATCTTGGACAACGGAATACAGTTACACCCACAGGGAGCAACTGCCCAATCACTCCTGGCAGCAGATTTTTACCAGTCAGATCAAGAGTCTGCCAGAGCGATTCATCAAACCTAGGGAGGAAAGGAGTTTGCTGGTTAGTAAGTAATGAAAGGCCAAAGCAAAGGACACTGTCATCAACAGGTTTTAATATTACAAATGAATGTGCAAAACAAGGAAGTCAACTCAGCAAGGATTTACTTATACAAACATTACTGAGATTTCTCACTGATCTGACAGCAAGTGCGTTCATATTCCTGAATATGAAGAGCCAAGATACTGCATGAAACTCACTGCAATAGGCTGTAGTCTCCCACAAGTACTGGAACTCTGTGGGAAAGGGGGCACTATTTGTTTAGTGGGAGGCAAGACTTGGGGAATTTGGGGGAAGATAGGAGCCTGGAATCAATGAATGGAATGGGTGGGTGCATGATGGAAGAGCTCAGACTACACTACATACTGGGGGGAGGGAGTGAAGGAGTGGGCAAGACCCCAGGTCTCATTATTGGGAGGCCTGGAAGAGAGCAGAGGCTTTAAATTAGTTAGGGGCACAGCCCAAATGTAAAATTTCCAGATAAGTGTGGTTCTCAAGTGACAGTCTCTATTTAAACATCAGGAATCAGAGTCTAGAATCTTTTAATGCACGTGTAACCCACTTTCAGTGTAGACAGAATTATACCTGCACATCAAAATGAGAAAAAGACCATTTAACAACCTTTAAAAAGCACTGCTGTTCTCAATACCTACAAGTAAAAAGCAATACTCACGCTAGGCGTTGCCATCTCTTGCAAATCTGGGAAACTTTTAGCAGGTCAATTAGGGGTAAGTACGCCAAGATCCCTAAAAGTAATTCATCTGGTAGTGCATCCCAAGAAATACCTTTAAGAAAACAGTCAAAAGGTTTTACATAGATCGGATTCATTTTTGTCCACTGATTAGCCATTTCAACAGTTTTGCCATTAGACAAAAATATTAAAGACAACAGACAAATTCCCTGCCCTACCATCACTACCTTATTCCCTTGTTGATCTAGGGATACACTAGTCCACTACTTAGGTACTTACATTTCCTTATTGGAAAGGTATTATATTACTACTACTACCATCTCATCCAAGATGTTACTAGGTGCTGTGTGCATAGGTGCAAAAATAGCTGCCAACAGCATTGTCCCACATTTGTCTTCTGAAGCTTGTTTGTCCAACCCATCGTCTTCTGAGAAAGTGTATAAAGAGTTCCATAACCAGAATCTCTTTCTGAAAGGGATGCAGCTATTCTGCTCTTGTGCAATTAGCCCTTCTTAAGATTCATGACTCTACCGACTGCAGCCCCTAATGCATATTGAGCTATTGCTCTGCCTAAAATCCAAACATTCTTTTCTTAAGCAAGTAAATTTTCAAGGCATTATGTACATCTAGAAAATGCTGTTACTGCTCCAAAGAGGTCTGTGGAATAAGGAATTACCTCCCTAAATGAGATGGGAGACACTGTACATTTTAGATAGGAACCCCAGCCAGCACTGCCCAGATCACAACTTTATCTGAAAAGAAATATTTGACAGGTTGAGCACAAATGAGATGGGTGACAGTTCAAAAAACAGCCCCTGTAAACTCACCAAAATACCATAAAGAAAGTCATAAGCATTAGTAAGTTACTAGATGGTAAGGAGGCGGCTCAAACTGAGGTTTTATGAAGGCTATGAGACTATTCATCTCTTGTGATGTTTAGATCAGAGGTCTTCAGATAGATTCAGAAACATCCCTCCAGCAACAGATTATACTATCTGAGTTGATCTCTTTTTTAATCCACCCTCTGTTGGCCAAAACTGCTGTACTACAGATCTGGGAAATGGGCGAAATCCAAAATCCTATTTAATCCTTATTGAAGAAAACAGAATAGAAGAAATGATAGGCTGCATAGTAGCTATCAGTCTCTATGACTCATGGGAAATATTTTCTCCAGAGATGATAAAATACTATCCATTCACAGGTCTCCTTAAAGGAAGCAATAGAGTGAACCACTTCCTTACAGTAATGCTCTCTTTAGGACATGCAGGCTTGTCTAGATGTGGGAGGGGAAGTCAAACTTGTGGGAGATAAAAAAGACTTGAAAGAAACACACACGATTCACTAGATCCAGGGACTAGAGTTTGCTCGGAGAGACCAAACTATGTAAGAAGCAACTAAACTATTAGTGATTTGTAGTACCCAACCTCAGTCATTGTCACTGTTACAAGCTGACACAAGCTTGGGCTGTTGTTACTCTACCTGACTCTGTCTCTCGGAGCAGCCTAGGCCTGCGTGCAATCACAAAGTCCTTGTCCTTCTCTTTCACTTTCTGTCGTTTCTGAGGAGGATAAAGAGACACTAGCAGCTCCTGAGGGGTGTTCTCACTGCCCAGCTTCTCTTTCTTAAGGACAGACACTCCCATGCCCGAGAGTAGCTCTGATGTCTTGGTGGGGTCCCATGACCATGTGAAGCTTGTGGAAACATTGCTGTCTGAAGCTGGGATTTCCTGGAGATGTCTCCTGCAGGAACAGCACAAGTTACACCCCAAATGTTGGAAGACAAAATGGCACAGGTGCCTGCACCTACATCCCCTACAGTAAGCAATACAATTTACAGTGAAAATCAATAACACTTTGTACTTCTATAGCATTCAAAAATCCTGTAGGGTTTTACAAATGTTCACAACACCTCCAGACCTGGGATACATATAAGAATCAAATTGAACAGATTTATGTGATACTCTGTGGGGGAAATAGTCAGAAACACACAAACTTAATGGAAAGAAGTAAGCTGGGAAGCAGAAATGCTAAAATGGACCCACTTAGGGTGACAAGAGTAAATCAGACTGAATTTACAGCATGATATGATTGCAAAAAAGAATATTACAATTTTGAACTGTGGCATCACAAAGGGATGGGAATCTAGTCAACAGCAACAAAGCAGAGATTGTGGCTCTGCGGTCAGTTAGAATACTGCACATTATCACAGATAAAACCGTAGGAAGAAGAAGAAGGCAGAGAGGAGGCGCGGGAAGGGCCGGTCAGAGAAGGCAGCAGCAATGATCAGGGGCCATGAGAACTGATTTAAGTAGAAAGATTAAAAAAGCTAAATATATTTAATTTTGTATTGTTTGTTTTGTTGGACAGAAAAAATAAAAAGCGAAGGGGAAACTTCAGTCTGAAAATTAGGACAATCTTCCTAAAATACCTATCATGCTGCAGAATAGTGTGCCAAAGAAACTGGTGGAAATCTAGTTGTTTGGGACTATTACAATGAGACTGCACAAATAACTGGAGGAAAGTCCTGCAATGGCTGAGGTTACAATGAATGATCTAACAGGTCTTCTCCATCTTTCATTGCCAGAATTGCTTCATCCACCTGTGTGAACTCTGTGCAATTTACAATCTATAGTCAAGTGTGTGACCTGGTGGTTTAAATAAAGAACAGGGAGTCAAGACATTGAATTCTAATACTGCCTCTGAAATGGACATCTGCTTTCAGGCTCTTTTGCTTCAATTCCCTCATGTATAGAATAGTGATAATAGTGATTACTTATCTATCTCACCAGGGAATTAAAGATTACAGCGTTTGTACAGCACTTTGAAATACTGCAGTGAACTAGTTAGTGCATACATGTACCCTTATCATTTACTGTATAGAATTAGCACTGCTCAAAACTGTGTATCACAGGCCTTGTACCGCTAACAGGGACCCTCAGTTAGCACAAGTGATAGGTGTTTGTTCTCCATTTTTGGTCCTATTATCATCATAGAGTTCTAAATAGCCATGGTGTGATGCAGTGACATCTGTGAAGTCCCAGAAGGCCAAAGACACAACCATCAACAATGAGTATGAACTCATTGTTAACCTCAGATGCTTGAAAATATGCTTCATTTATAGAGGGGAATATAATGAACTGGCCAATAGCTATATATCTCTGCCCTACACTACAGATAATCAGAACTAGAAAATTATGCCCACACTGCTATCCACTAATGGAGAGTGTTTTGGCTCAAGCAGTAGAGCCTATGTCTTCGAAGCAGAGGGGATCTAGCCGCACTACCGCTATAAAGTTCCAAATGGCCATACTGTGCAGCACAGTAAAAACTGCAAAATCCTCCGTGAACACTGGTTTGTTACAGGATCACTGTATTTTGGACAACACTACATACACACACCCCTCCAAGTCACTACCATCCAGGCTACTGGCCCCGCTCAGATTTCCGCCAAAATCACATGGCTACCTGCTATTAATTACCCTTTAGCGGACACACCAAGACATGTATGACTTGTGCTCACCAGGGTAGCCTTGGGGGATGCAGATGCGGTTTCCCATCCCCTGGGTAGAGGTGAAAGGGGCAGAAGGACGTACAATATTCTGCAGCGTTAGAGACTGAACACCGCGTGGACAGACAGATAACAAAGCCCAGTGCAACAATTTGCACGCACCCCCCACAACACAGCAGCAGCCTACGCGTTGGGCGGCAACTACCACACTCGCCCCTTCCCGATGCAATACCCCACGCGGACTCCGGCCAGTTGCCCCCGGCCGCCGCATTACCTGTGCATGGTGGCCTGGCGCAGAAGCATTAGAAGCTGGGAGCCTGGGTCCCCGCACTAACCAGCAGCAGGAGCGACCGGCCCTTCCCGCGCCTCCTCTCTGCGCAGCAGCAGCACCACCAAACTGAGCGCGACCAGCACAACGTTCCATTCCCCAGCGCGCGCTACTCCTAACGGAAGTGAGGCTAGCAGCCGGTGAAAGGGGCAGCCGCAATGCCTCCTGGGATTTGTAGTTCGTTCAGCGGCGCCTGAGTCGGCCTACCCAGAAGCCCGTGCGGCCCGGCTGGGCGTCGGTCGATGACGTGGTTGGACGGCGAGCGATTGTCCAAAGGGAAATGTCAGCCGCTGGGGAACCGGCTGCCCCAGTCGCGGTGACACGGAGGAAGCCGGGCCTCAAGGGAACTGTGGCCGGCTGCTGTGGCGCAGTTTGAAGCCCCGCTTCGGCCGGGGCCATCGCTCACGGAGCCAGGCGCCCGGGACAGCAGCCGCAGCAGGGGGAGGATGGAGGAGGGCAGAGGCCGGCGGAGGCCCCGGTGCTGAGAGAGTGGCTCAGCCCCAGGTGAGCCAGCGGGGTGGCTTGTTCCTGAGGGATCGCCCCAGACACCGTTCCCCTCAGCTGCCCCCTTCCCCCCGCTGCGGCCAGAGAGCAGCTCCTGGCAGGGGTGCGGGGCGGCCTTGGGAGAGAGGGGCCAGTTTTGTGTCACCAGGGCGGGAAGGGGGCACAAGGGAGCATGACAGCGGGGGGTGTACGGGGGCGGGGCGGCGGTAGGGGGAGGGGTGTAGGGGGCGCGTAAGGGGGCGGCATGGCGGTGGGGGGGGGCGGCATGTGGCGATATCTTGCTCCCCCCCCCCCGGGTGATCTCTGGGCCCAGAGCACAGGCCTGTATTCCATGTCGGGCCCCACAAACGAAGTGGGCTCAGAAAGGAAGACGCACCTATAAAGTTCAGAATGTCTGAATAATAGGCACCCTTCAGATGGGACCTTAAAAACTGAGCTGTGTCTGCTCTCAGGATAGGTTTGGAGGGTTTTTTGGGAGGTAAGAAATAAGTGTGGTTATTCTGCGGTCGACCAATTTTCCCTATCTTTCCAAGACCCACAACTGCTGAATAACATTTATTATTATTTTTGTGCCCCAAAGTGTGTCAGATGCTTAAAGACAAATAGACAGATCCCTGCGCCAAAGAGCTTACAGTCAGATTATTTTCTGTTTTACTGTCAACTTCTTGTTCCCAAAGAGAGAGAGTTATTGTGCTAGTCATGTTTCAGAGTAACAGCCGTGTTAGTCTGTATTCGCAAAAAGAAAAGGAGTACTTGTGGCACCTTAGAGACTAACCAGTTTATTTGAGCATGAGCTTTCGTGCTAGTCATATTACAAATTACTAGGTTACTTCTCCAAGGTACTGACAAAGTGATTGACTAGTCGAGTTTAGCATATTTTATATAGCTACTTATTTATAAAATCTGCTGACGTCTGCTTTAGCAATATTTCTGTGGGGAAGCACAGGCAACAAAGAGAGGGTTTGTGGTTCAGGAAGTCTGGCACCATGTTGACAAAAGGATTTGTTCTGTTTCCCTTTGAAAGGCTTTTCTGTTTTTTCAGAAGCAGTTCTAAAGCACCTTTGTAGAGCTCAACTACTCCACCCAAGTGTTTTAATTGGATCATTAATCACATCCATTCAGACTTTGTGCAAGGTTCTTACTAAAACCTTCATAATAAAACCTTTTGTGGAGTTTCATATGAGATTTACATTTCAGTAATGCAATTTTTCATCATGTTTGTCCTAACAATATGTTTTAATATTGGTGATGAAGGGGGAAATGACTCGGATTTGAATATTTTTTGGCAATTTCTCTCCCAGTCAACAACTTGTATCCAGCCTGATCAGTTGCACACTGGATTCATTTTATAATGGCTGATTGATTATGTAGAAAAATTTAATAAGCTCACAAAAGAACAGAACTATGTGGAACTGTCGGCTCTGTCCAGTTCATATTAAATCTCATTGCACAGTAAGATAACAGCTGTAAGTCTTGTGTAAGTCATTACCAACTTATCCCTCCAAACCATGAATTTTATGTGGAAGGGTAAAGGAGCTTTTCCTATTTCCCATCTGTCTGATTCCTACTTTATAAAAGATTTACTATTTGTTTGCCTCTTTGGAAATAAAGCAGTATGCAATAAGGAAATAGATTGTTTTTTTTATTTACTTTTTAACTTGATTCAGATATTAAGATTTGAACTCTTCTGAGGATTTAAAAAAAAAGTTTCTCAGACTAATATGCAATTTTTCTTTCTTTCCTGTAGTTTATAATTAACCAGTAGGTACTGCGACAGACTGACAATATCAGTCAACCCCAACACACCTTCTGACTTAAGATAAACTTTATTGAATTCAATTAAACCTTAATGTACATCGAAGGTATTAACCCCAATTCAGTGTGTTGTTGTGGCTTTGTATGTATGTCCTCTAGCAGGAGGGGGATGCTAATGTACTTACTTTATCAGCCCTTTGAAGCCACCCTGGAGAGGTATGCATATAGTAGTTCAAACTGGATTCTCCAGGGACCAACAGACAAAGAAAGGATTTTTGGATAAAGAGCCTGGTTTAAACTGGCTCAGGGCCACTCCTTGATTCCGTAAATGGACAGGACTCTGATGACCATGGAGGGCCTCAATTTTTAGAGTAGGATTGGAAGGACTTGGTCTACTGAGGCCCCATAAAATGGCGTGCTTGTGATCAGTTGAAACTGTGATGAATTTTCAGAGTAACAGCCGTGTTAGTCTGTATTCGCAAAAAGAAAAGGAGTAACAATAAATTGGTTAGTCTCTAAGGTGCCACAAGTACTCCTTTTCTTTTTGTGATGAATTTGTGACCATAAAGTAAACCCCTTGGGTGGGGCATTGAAAGACTGCTGCTCCTGCCAGAACCCATGTCAGAGCTCAGGTGATGTCTGGTAAGCTTATTAGCATGTGTATAGCTTCTGTTGTTTTTAATGTGTTCTCTCTAGTGCTTTTAGCCTAATAATAAAATAGGTTTGCATAAAAAGAGGTGTGGTGATACCAATGACTATGGGCAGTCAGTCTCACTGTGCCCGGGCAGACTAGACTGTCTCTGCTGGGAATAACACAGTGAAGGCAGGGAATTGTGAAGTCTGGTAATACCCCAATCAGAAGGGAGTGAGATGTGGGTCTTTACTCAAAAGTGCAATTGCTGGGTAACTGGAAGCCTGAGAGTGGGTGCCCTTTGCTGTACCACTGAGGGGAAATACAGCTGAAGTTCCTCTGAACAGTGACCGATGCCTCTTAAATGAGAAACCAAGAACAGGTCTATACTAAAACGTGTGCCATTTTAATGGAACCAGTATACTTATGCTGGTAAATCCCTCCTGGTGTTGACATTTATACTGGTATATAAATGTTGATACTGGTATAGCTTAATCACTTTTATATTGATAAAACTGTGGCTTCACTAGTGCTTTTACTGGCATACCTATGTCAGCAAAAAAAAAAAAAAAAAAAATCAAACTCCTAACTGATATAACCATGCCAGTAAAATTTTTAAGTGTAGACCAAGCCCAAGAAGTCTCTAGATATTAAAATTCTTCTGGAGTTAATTCTTCTGGCTATGTTGCAGATGGTCAAAACCAATCTCCTGAGGCTGAGATTTTCATTCAAAGCCAGGGCACGTCATTCTATCCCAACCTAGGATACCTCTTCTAGCTAGACAGGCTACTGACAGGACAGAGGACCATAGTTCCGTTTTCAGGTTGGTACAGGTCTGGTACTTTTGAAAGCTCTCTTTGTCATGAGGTATTAATGTATTCCGGGTAGAAGGAGACTCCTTTTGAACCAGTCATTTCAGCTGAGTTTAACTTTCTGACATGTGAAGTAATTTTCCTGGTGGCAGTAACTTTAGCTTGCAGTGTAAATGAGCTTTCAGGTTTTAATGACTTTCATCTTATTCTAAGTTTTACAAGGGTAAGGTGGTGACAGAGACGAATCTAAGATTCCTGCCAGAGTGTGTTGGATTTCCACCTGAATCAGACTAAGATCTTCCTAGGCACATGTGCCTATCCCATCAAGATCCTTCTCCTGCACCCAGTGTCAAAAGGCACTCAGGATTGTATTTGCATAAAGCATTTAGAAAAAAGGACATGCATATAATCTGGCTGGCCTTAAACCATCACTTTCTTGAAATGGGGACACCATGATGTAAGCTTACCACCATTCCTGTCTCAGGTGTTTCCATTAGAGATACAGGAACTCCTCACTTAGCGTTAAAAGAAAAGGAGTACTTGTGGCACCTTAGAGACTAACCAATTTATTTGAGCATAAGCTTTCGTGAGCTACAGCTCACTTCATCGGATGCATACTGTGGAAAGTGTAGAAGATCTTTTTATACACACAAAGCATGAAAAAATACCTCTTTCCACCCCACTCTCCTGCTGGTAATAGCTTATCTAAAGTGACCACTCTCCTTACAATGTGTATGATAATCAAGGTGGGCCATTTCCAGCACAAATCCAGTGTTTAACAAGAACATCTGGGGGGGGAAGGGGGGGTAGGAAAAAACAAGGGGAAATAGGTTACCTTGCATAATGACTTAGCCACTCCCAAACTCTATTCAAGCCTAAGTTAATTGTATCCAATTTGCAAATGAATTCCAATTCAGCAGTTTCTCGCTGGAGTCTGGATTTGAAGTTTTTTTTGTTGTAATATAGCAACTTTCATGTCTGTAATCGCATGACCAGAGAGATTGAAGTGTTCTCCGACTGGTTTATGAATGTTATAATTCTTGACATCTGATTTGTGTCCATTTATTCTTTTACGTAGAGACTGTCCAGTTTGACCAATGTACATGGCAGAGGGGCATTGCTGGCACATGATGGCATATATCACATTGGTGGATGTGCAGGTGAACGAGCCTCTGATAGTGTGGCTGACGTTAATAGGCCCTGTGATGGTGTCCCCTGAATAGGTATGCGAGCACAGTTGGCAACGGGCTTTGTTGCAAGGATAGGTTCCTGGGTTCGTGGTTCTGTTGTGTGGTATGTGGTTGCTGGTGAGTATTTGCTTCAGTTGGGGGGCTGTCTGTAAGCAAGGACTGGCCTGTCTCCCAAGATTTGTGAGAGTGTTGGGTCATCCTTCAGGATAGGTTGTAGATCCTTAATAATGTGTTGGA